AAGGTAACTGCAAATACGCCGACGAAAAATCCACCTTGGAAAAATATTTCGCACCCTTCAACTGAGCCAAAATCTCCTCAATCCTAGGCAATGGATATTTAACCTCCACCACCCATCGATTTACTGTGACCCTGAAATCAGCACAAAGTCTCAATTTACCATTTGCCTTTTTAACAGGCACTAAAGGAGTCGCCCATTCACTATATCCTACAGGAATAATAATGCCGTCTTTCACCCATCTATCTAATTCCTCATCGATCTCCTTCCTCCATTAAAAGGAACTCGCCGACAAGCCAAAAAGATCGGTGAAAAACCCTCCCTAAGTTGAACATCAACTTGATAATCATTTAAACAACCTAATTTTTCATCAAAAATGATGCCATACTGCCTCACTAGAATAGGAATAGCTTGATTAACTTTACTCCAATCCTCTTTTCCCCCGACCATAATTTGCTTCTCATCTATCTCATCATTAAAATTCAACTTACTCGATTTCTCCATCATCTCCTCCGAAATTTGACAAATTTTATTATCGGTATTATCCAAATTTCCACTCTCTTCAACATCCACTATTACATTATCGCTAGTATTAAAAATATTCCTATAATTATTGGGAGGACCAAGCTTGGTAATCCACCACCCCATAACAGTTTCAACATTTTCCTTTTCTACCCATAAATCAAGGAAAAATATGGTATCATCAAGATTAACCCCCAATTTGGCCTTTCCCAACACAGCGTCTTCCGACCCATCAAACTGTCTGACACACATAGCCTCTTTTTCCAGTTTACCCCCAGGCCAATACTTATAAAAATTCTCCTGCGACATTAAAGAAATACTAGCCCCGGTGTCAAATAGCATTTCTATATTCCTATGATCAATCTTCAAACTAACCCTCGGACACAAACATGGTCCATCTAATTTTTCCGTCATTAAAATATCATATGTTTTAATCGGAGAATCAGCGTTTATTTTATCTAAAATAATAATTTCATTGGCATTCTCATTGCCCCTTAAATTCAACTCGGAATTTAAATTCTTATTACTGACAATTACATTTCTTTTAACAAGATTTGTGGGATATCTTTCCCAAATAAAATTCTTAACATCCCTTCTAAGAGAATAACGGACAATATTCCTCGGATATTGTTCCCACCTAAATCGACTAACCTCCCTCTCAGAGAAATTACGAGAATGATTTCTTATTCTAATTCTATCATTCCCCTCATCTCGACTAATAATATTAAATGTTTTATTATACAAAATCTTCCGAATTCTCGGAGCCTCGACTCCTATATGATTCACCTTGCAATCATATAGTCAACACGAATTTCGTGATACCTCCATGCAGTCCACAGCTACATGTCCCGGTCTTTTACATTTAAAACATTTCGAGATTCATTCACCCGAACCACCTTTACACTAGCATTTCCCATTTCAGGTCTCTTTAATGGAAATCCATCTTTAAACCTTTGCTCTGGGACTACTCAGGTATCCCTTTTATGTCCTCGCCATCCGCAACGATGGCAAATGATCATTTCCACAAATCTTTTATTTCTTGACAATTCCTTATTTTACTCGTAATCATTAAATTTCTGATTAATATTTCTATCACCCACCTGGCTCTTAACCGGACTTTTACTCTCCTTTATCAACGCATTGATGGCTTCTTTCATTTCCAGGAGGATCCTATCTGACCTCTCCCCAACATTTCCAGCCTTGATTTCCTCTAACATCTTTTAGATTACTTTCCAAGTCTGCTATTTTCTTTCCATAAATATCCGATATTAAATTAAAATACGTTTCTGCCATTTTCTTTTTATAAACATCTGACACCGCAGTGTCCTTCCTCCAATTGCAATACATGCCTGCCAGTACCGCAGTACCCCTTTTTATCAAATATTTCACCATAATGATCAATATATAAATTATTACCAATATTCCAATTACCATGCCCTGCTTAATTAAATCCAACTCATCAAACTTTTTATACAAAACTTTAAGACCCAAATTCTTATATAATGAAATCTTAGCAGCCTCACTGTAATCATCATGATACCTAAAAAAATGAACCATTTGGTCATGAATCTATTAGTCAATACTAATACTCAATTACAAACACTTTAAATATTTGTAGAAAAATTAAAACAGCACCATAAATTAACTTAACTAGCTAAATCGTATAGGCGCAGTCAAAAATTCTAAAAAAATATTATACAATTAAAAATTTTTTGTTTTACCTTCTAAACCGAATAACTCCTAGGAAACTATCAGCGTCACAAGGCACCACTAAAAAAAAACCTATAAACACAAACTAAAACAAATCTAAAATCAACCTAAACAAATCCTAGAAAATTAACCAAACTTTCTAAAAAACGAATCGTCAAGAATTATATGAAATTATCAAATCAAAAGACAAATAAAACTACAATAGAAATCCAAAAATTTTATTCAAAAGAAAATTCATTTCTCCAAAAAAAAAAAATTTTTATATAAAAAAAAATTAATTAATGAATCAAAAAAATAAAATAATATCAACATATATTATTACATCTAATTTTATATCCAATCAACCTTATTTTAATCGGTTGATTGGCATTTCGCGTAAAAAAAATATATGATAAACGTATTTACAAATACGACAGTAGTGTAATTCAATATTTTATTAGGAAAAATATTATTCATGCCTTAAGATTTTGCTCATAGGTGGCACAAAGGTTTGAACATCTATTAACGAAATATCGAGGGTTAGACAATATTTTTCTGGCTAAAATATCGAGTTAGCCGTTTTAAAAATCGGCTCAAATCGAGCCGTTTAACAACACTAATATTTTGGCCTAGTTTTTATAGTATTTTTATAATTATTTAACATTGAATTAATAAAATTTACATTTTTATATATTTTTTTTAAAAATATTATAATTAAAGCAACGTCTTTCATGATCAGTTATATGAGTAATTATATTAAACATTTCCCCCTCCACCATGTTATACTCATATCCACCATATTAAGGTAGAACTAGGCTTATTCGATACATAAAATTAATCCTGCCCACACCCCCTAGCAATAGCTTCACCCATCGAGAGGTAGCACTTGGCCTGTTGCCTATTCAATTTTTTTAAAATTATCTATCGATTGATACCATTAATAACCATATATTTATATACTTTAATAAGTTCAATAAGAAATAACTTAAAATATATGGATCTGTGCTCGGGATTCATGCCATAGCTGATTTAGATTTTAGAGCCAAGTGCCAGGCAATCAACAATTAACAATACTAATATAAGTAATCGAGTTTCATAAAATTTAAGCTAACCTGTTGAGTTCACGACTCAAATTCATACCTCGAGTCACGACTTGATAACGGCTCAAGTTCATAACTCGAGTTGTAAAAATGAGTCGACTAATCGACTCAAAACTCGACGAGTTATTGCGACTTCGACTCGGAATCTAAGTCGGGAGAACTCGACTATTTAACAATACTAATTTAATAAGTCAGATTTTGATTCTAGCCAAAATAATATCATGCAAGCCTCCAGAATTGGCATATAGAAGTTTAAACTCTCCCGCCATCTATGAGAGATATCCATGCTTAAAAATATTATTTTAGCTAAGATTTTAATAGGATCATTTTTAAAATCGATCCAAATTGGTCTGATTCAATAACACTAGTATAATTGCAGGTAGAGAATATTTAATTTCGGTTAAACTTGTGAAACTACTAAGTACATAGGTTCTTACATTTAACAGATGTCTTGTAAAATACCATATTCAAAAACTACCAATAAATAAAGGAGATTATTTTAATTTATTCCGGGTATCTTTTTTGGGTGTTGCATAAAGTTGTAATTTATTTTTATCAATTTACTTAATATATCTGAGGTGCTACACTCTCCATACCCACCTTTGGGGTAGACCTTCCGCTCGCTTTTGCCCGTTCTGTGGCCGGATTTATATCATGGAATCTAAATCAAATGCTTTCCTCTCTTAACCAATAAATAAATCCTAAGGCTGCATTCAAAGTGGAGACGGATCCGTTTTTTGCATCCGTTCCGTAAAAAGTTAATCTCATTAAAAATGATATATAGGTTCATAGTGCGTCCGTTACGATACCTTCTGTCTTAAAAACGGATCCGACAAATTTTTAAGTCAAAACATTGACTTTTTGATCCGGCAAATTTTTTAAAAATGATAATCAAAATATATCATTCTTAATGGAACGGATGTAAAAAGATCCGTCTCCACTTTAAATGCGGCCTAAAATAGCGCAAAATATCAAGAAAATATTTTACCAACCTTTTTTCAAAACTAAAGTGAGACTAATTTAAAAATGAACAATAAATGAATTGGAAAATATGCAATACTGTACATGAATCTAATTTGAATTCAAACAACTTCAACGTATTATATGTAGTGGGTTTTATTTCATTTCGATATAGAAGATCAACTAATAAATAACTTTAAATAGATTATATATCTTTTTTCACATTATAAATATCATTTGATTTCTTACCATTTTATTTTTTTTAAGGGATAGGATGAAAAATATAAAACAAATTGAAAAATAATAATTATTTTATATACTTCGTAAGATTGCTATTTAAATGTTTTAATAAAGGGAGCAAATTTAAAAAAAGGCGCTAATAGATTTTTCAAAATTGGTTCCTATTTTGAAAGGGAGGTGCGTTAGCACTCAAAGCATTTATTAGCGACGACCCTTAATTTATTACATTAGTGATTTAAAAAACAATTTTATATATATAATATTGGTAAGTCTAGTGTTGGTAAAAGCATGATTTTGTTTGATTTAAAAAACTACTCGATTAAGATTTTAGCCAAAATATTAATCTTATATGCTTCAAGATTAGATTTTGTAAATAGAAATCTAAATCTTTCTGCCATTTAAGAACAAAATTTATAGGCCTACATAATACTTTTTTAACTTAATTTAATTTGGTTCGTTTTATAAATCGACCTATATAGCTTTTTAACAAACCTTCTATTTATGTCCTTGAAATGAGAGTTTTTATTTTCCAAAAGGATAAAGTAGAAATCCATCAAGATTTTGCTTTTTTTATATCTCTTTGCAATGAAAATATGGAAATCAGAACATACATTTGAGTATGAAAAAGATTGTAATCAAATTATTTAGCTATTTAATATTAGTCATCCATGGGACACAGTAACAAAAGCAGCTTGGAGAAAATATCCAAATCCTATGAATACCTCAGTTCATTCAATTGACGTTATTAACAGATCAGTTGATGCTCACTCAGGTGCCTTAATTACTCATAGATTAATTCAAACATCTTGGCGTATACCTGCCTGGATACAGAAAGTTAATTTATTACATAATTTATATACAAATATTTTTTAAAGTTTATCAATATAAATCCTGATTGTTATGTGAGTGAAATATCTCAATTGGATCCCAATAAGAAAATAATGACTTCTCAATCGACAAATGTATTATATTTAAGTGATAATATATTCATTTTTTTAAAGTTATCTATGGTGCAAAACATAGCTATAGAGGAAAGATTGATTTATTCTCAACATCCACGAGATATCAATAAGTCATTAATATAAACAAATATAAGTTAAAATAATATTTATTTTAGGACACATATGATAAATGAATCAACTATAACAATAAAAGGAGTCCCTCTATCAAATTATTTGGAAAAAATTATTGAAAATACCATGGTATCCAAATCTAACTCAGTAAATTCCAATCTATATATTATTAATTTTTAATTTATTTATTATAAATTTATATATATTTTAAGGGGAAATTAGCCATGGAATGGGTCATTGAAAAAATCAATAATGAAGTGAAAGAAATTTCAAAAAATTCTACATTTAATCATTCAAATGACAATTATTTATAAAAAAAAATTGAATGAAGCCAAATTATACTTTTTAAAGGAAAATTGATAATGTTGATATTCTCATTTTATATCAATTATGATTGGACATAGCAAAATTAATTTAATTATACAAAAATGTAACTAATCAATTTTTTTAGCAAATGAATAAAAAATTTAAATTTTTTTAAATAAAGGAAAAAATTCCAGTCTGTTAGCCATCAAATAATTAATATTTTATTGTTTTTTTTAAGAAAAATATAAGTGTTCCTAACAGAGTTGTTAAAGTATCTAGATACAAGTATCTAGATACTGTATCTAGATATAAAAATGTAGTATCTGTATCTAGATAGATTTTTTAGAAAGGTATCTGTATCTAGATATTTTTTAGAGGTATCTGTATCTGTTTTTAGATACTTTTTAAGATACATGTTATATACCCCTTTTTTTATTATAAAAAAAAATATTTGACTGTAAAATTTATTTTATTTCATATGAGCTTATGAAATAAATAAATATATATATATTATATATTAATATTTATTAATACTATAATAAAGAATTATATATACATAAAATATTAAAACTTATATATAAAAAATATATATAAATATTCATTAATTTAAATATTATGTCCGAGTTTATCAATAAACCATACAAATTTTAATATTACAATATGGAAATGGTAAATTTTATTTTATAACTAAATTTTTAAGTTTATATATTAATTTAGATCTATATCGATGAAAAAGAGGAAGCAACAACAAGTTCTATTGCTTTACCATGACCTTTTCACAATATAATATTAATTTAGGTTTATGCAAACCTATAAGAGCATAATAAAAAATGTATCTGTATACAGATACATTTAAAAATTGTATCTGTATCTTGATAACTTTTTAGACGCTGTATCTGTATCTAGATAACTTTTGAGACTATGTATCTGTATCTGTATCTAGATCCATTTAAAAAGTATCTTTTAACAACTCTGGTTCCTAAAGAGGAACAATATTTAAATTTAAAATTTGTTATTATATAATTCTGCTTAAGGTTTAAATATTCCCTGTTTGTATTTTTATTTTATGAGCTAAATTTGAAAAAAACAAATATACTTGTTTATTTGTGTACACTGCAATTGGGGAGAATATAAAGGTATTAATTTTTTTGGCTTCTGCTAAGTTTAACAGGTTGCTATTAATATTAGTTTGGAAGGCTGATACAATACCTAATTAGGGATTTTTCCATTGCTCTGAGAAATATTTTTCTAACTTTCAGTTCTTAGACATCATCATTTGATTAGTAGGGTTTTAAAATATCCCAATTTTCCATTTATTTATGTTAATTTAGTTAAATGTGGTTATATTTTGTTTAAAAGGTTTAAGAGTGAGTCCAAAAAGTCTCAATTGAATTCAGATTTAAGATCATTGGTGAGATTATGAATATCAAGAAAAATATGAGAGGCCCAAGTAGGTCTCCTTGCTGAATGCATTAATTGGAAGTGATGACAAGTGGGCTATATAGAAGAAACATGTTTATATGAACATTTTAAATCAGAGTTGTTAAAAGATACTTTTTAAATGGATCTAGATACAGATACATAGTCTCAAAAGTTATCTAGATACAGATACAGCGTCTAAAAAGTTATCAAGATACAGATACAATTTTTAAATGTATCTGTATACAGATACATTTTTTATTATGCTCTTATAGGTTTGCATAAAGCTAAATTAATATTATATTGTGAAAATTCATGAAATGAGCTAAAAAATTTATTGACGGCGATATAAAATTTATCAGAATATAACTAAAATAATGATTTTAATATAATATATGAAAATATATGATTAAATAATTATAAATAATTATTAGATTTCAGTAATAAAATATTTTCAAAATTTTGATCATTTAGGCATCCTCGTTTATCTGTAAAGACATTTTTAGCAACACTAAATAGTCTTTCCACAGGGGCGCTTGAAGGAATTGTAGTGTTATATTTAATAAATAACAATTTTATATCAGGGTATTCTTTAAAAATGCTAAAATCTCTACATTCATTTTTGAAAAAATTATTTAAAATTTGTTGATTATCAAAATTTAAATCATTATTAGAAATTATATCTGCTGTAGGGTACTGAAAAAAATCTGAAATTAAATTATTTGTTTTTTTTGGCAGGTTATTTGCTTGCAGTCAGTTGATGACTTTGATAATTCACCAGCTTATCTTTGTATCAATTGTTTTTTTTATTAAGATTTTCTTCCATTTGCAACCATGTCCAATCAAGTTTAAAAAAAGGGTGGAGCATGGTTGCTATTATATTATCATCTTCAAATAAGGTCACAATAAACCTAGAATTATTAAATATTTTTAATTTATAATATTAATTTACCTATCCTCAATCCCTTTAAGTAAGGCATCTAAGAGTGGTAAACAGATGAAATAAAATAAATTTTACAGTCAAATATTTTTATTTATAATAAAAAAAGGGGTATATAAAATGTATCTTAAAAAGTATCTAAAACAGATACAGATACCTCTAAAAAAATATCTAGATACAGATACTACATTTTTATATTTAGATACAGTATCTACTTTAACAACTCTGTTTTAAATATTTACAAATTATGCCATTGAAAATCTTTTAATGAATAGATTGATTATAAGCCATGTTAGAAAGAGGATTTTAATAAATTTTAATTACATGTGTGGCTATTTTTCATCTACACACTATTATCCTAATTGATATATATGTGCCAAGTTATTCCCATTATTTAATAACATTCATAAACGATTATTTGTTATAAGTGTTTGATTAGGTCACCCTTATTAAAAATTTGTTATTTTTATTGCTTATAAGTTTGATGAAATCAAAATTTTATCAAGAATGTTTAAATGGATTTTGAGACTGTAATTAATATTTCAAACCCTAAAAATATGAATCGATATATATCTTTCTATATATCTTTTAAGCTTTAAGTACAACTTTTTTTTAAAAAATTCTTTTTTATTAATCTTGCTAGGCTATTTCTAAATTTATTAGATTTAATATCACAAGAAAAAAGCTTTATAATTGTAAAATAATATTATTCAAAATATTGGGAAATTCAAAATAATATATCAAAATTTTTAACCAAACTTTATTAAAATTTTTGTTCTTTTCTTCACATATATCAAAAATAAAGAAATTCCACTATTACAAAAATCTGTATTAAAACTAGATTATCCTTAGGCATGCGTAAAACCCTGAGAAAGATAAGTTGATTTTCTTGTTTTCAAAGTCGTACCATTCTTTAGACTTAAATCTTGGGTCTGAGGCGATAGTTTTTAGATTTTATGACTAACTTGAATATTATGTTTTTCATACTAATACCAATTAACTAGTATTTACGGCTCATTTTGAGCCGATTTTTAAAAAGAAAAACGGCTAACTCAATATTTTATTAGGATAGTTATTATACAAGCCTTAAGATTTTGCTCATAGATGGCACAAAGGTTTGAACATCTATTAAAGAAATCTCGAGGCTTAAACAATATTTTTCTGGCTAAAATATTGAGTTAGCTATTTTTAAAAATCGACTCAAATCGAGCCGTTTAACAGTAGACATGACATATTATATGGGTCTTGGAGTTTAGTTTTTATAGGAGCACACATCACTTAAATTTTATTTAAGTATTTCATACTTATAAAAAACAATATTTTATTTTATTTAACACTGTTAGCAATATAAATTCACGACTTCTACATACAAAGTGTGAGGAAGCGACTGAACTTGTTAAATTTAGGGTACTCTATTTATTCCTCTCCCTTTGCGCAAGCTTCAGAAAAGCTTGTCATTGAATAAATCGTGTTTCGCAGTCCATTAGTATTTAATTAATTTAGCCTCCCTGACATTTTCCTCCTATAACTATTTTTTATTGACATTACACTACGATGCTGAACATTGAAAGTCCTACACATGAATTCAAATCATAATGAAATATGGCTTTAGGTTGAATTTAAAAATACGTTTTAAATTTGAATTCATAAAAAATGATAATTTTCATGTCTTTAAAACCTGCTTTGACTTTATCATGCAAACTTATTAGTATTGTTGAACAGTAATGAAATATAATTTGAAAACTATTTCGTTAGGAATGTAAGAAAACATAAAACAAAAAAAATAATCAAAAAGTTAATTTATATCTCAGAAATATATCGTTTATTATCAAAAATTTATTAATTATATGAATTTCGAAGGTATCTAAGTGTTGGAAACTCAATATTATTATAGTAATATCTCTAAAAATGATATATCAGCCTAAATTTTTTTTAAAAAAACATATGAAAACAACCTAACAAAAAGGTGCTCAGTATTTCTCAACACGATGAGCTTTTGCCCAAATGCAACATTTGCTCTATTGTTTTGAATAATTTTAGGGCTTGGGATTCAAATGATCCACAGGTCGGAGACTACCGGAGAGTGTTAAGGTGGCTATATTTATTTTTCATGGTGATTTCAGTTTTCATGATGGAGTTGACAGATAGAGATCTGGTAAAACGATCTACACAATACAATCCCAAGCGAGGGGTATATCTTGGTTCCAGGGGACTAGCGTCATTCCATCAAGTCTGGTTTGATTGTCAGGGCTGTGGCCAGAAGGTTAGCGTAGAAGGAATATTTGTGGATTTCAAGATTCTATTGATGATTGAATTAATGGCATAATGCCTGCGTAATCTGCCTTTTGGATAGTGTAAAGGGTTGTGGCCTAGGCTATTTCTATGAGTTTCACAGAGGACACATGATGTCGGCATTGTGATTTTACAACCTTAAACGAAGATCGATAGCAATTCTAAGTTCTTTGTTAGTTAGGAGCAATTCTAAATTAGAACTAGGTATTTTTTCTAACCATTACCCAAGGTGGCATATGGCTTAAGCTGAAATTATTTGATTGGGTAAAAAAGTTGAATTGTTGTGATTCTATATACTCGGGGCTGGGTTTAGGTAGAGAAAGAGGGATAGAGATTTCCTTTGAACATTAAAGTGCAAGTATTCGATGGAATGCTGTATCAATGGTAAATTCCAATCTCTTTTTCTAACAGAATTTGAATATGAGCAGCTTGGAGCTTTTTTGTTCCAGAGGTCTAATGCTGCCATATGATGATCTATAGTATCCAAGTTTGTATCGAAATTTAGCAACTGCGGATAAAAAATTTGAAATGCTTAAGGATAAGAGTGTATGGATATACCACTAGCTTTGGTAGAAGGGGAGCTTGCATCCAGGAGAGTGATGAGAATTTGATATTTAAAGTAGATTCGAGTATTTTTTAAATGAAATTCGAGGTCTAATAATATTTCAGGGGAAATAAAAATTGTCGATGAACGAAATGCAAGTAAAACTTTAGAAATGAATAAAAAAAATTTAAGAAAACAAATGGCCTGATGAGCAGGTAAATATTTTAAAATATTTTTCATTTTATTGAATTTGGCAAGAAATTTATTTCTGTAATGAAATATAGCATTTTCACCTCCAATGGGTGAACATAGGTGGTTAAAGCTATCTTTGTCCATTACAATAAAATTTTCAGGTGGGCATTCAAAAGGGAAGGGAAAATTCACATTTATTGGGATTTAGTGATAGTCCCATTATGGGGGCTAAACGATTTATAATTGTAGGTATTTTTATGATTTCATTATATGAGCCCACTTATGTGCCGTGCTACCAAACATTTAATTTAAAATCACATGGAAGAGATTTAATGAAAAATTGAATGCCCTGGCAGAATAATGTAGGATCTAAAGGATCTCCATGCTGAATACCTTGTTTGGAGAGAATGACTGAATAATTAAATTTTTAAAAGGTGGATTGGTTGTAATATGCTGAAATGAATATTGAATACTCTGGGAATGTTTCACAGAACGAGGGTATAAAATTCCTTTCTAAGTAAATTGAAGGCATTTTGTAGATCTATTTTGAGGATGCATGCGTATTAATGAGGACACTGTGGAGTAGGACACAGTCTTACAACTTCGAGAATATTAAAGCCAAGATGGTTAGGTTTTAAAAATTAAGGCATGTGTGATTTTATCCGGGAGAAAATTATTTTAGAAGTTATTCGCAGGAATACTGACCCTACTTAAGTCTGATATACCCATTTATTTTGTTTAAGGTTGTTAGCCGGACTCCAAATATGTGAGGTTGAATGGTGTTTGGATAGATCTTAAGTAAATTTGATAAACACCGAAAAAAAATCCATGGGTTCTATTTCAGGGGGTTTTTTTCCTGGAAATTTTTTTGTGGGTTTTATTCCCCGGGATTCATACAAAAGTATTTATGTATACTTTGCCACAAATTCGCTCTAACCATCAATGTTGGGAAGGAGGAAAAATACATTTAATGGCTCAGGTCATTATCCAGACAGAACAATTTTTCAAAACTGTTTCCTAGACATTTTTTTAGCATTTTTCTTTATTTATTTCAAAACAAATGATAATAAATTATTGAATTAATTTTTTTTGTCTAATAAAATACTTTTTTAAAAAATAATCGACATCGGTCGGTAGCATACATGAAATACTACATACCAAGTTTTAAAAAAATATATTATTCTACAAATTATAATCCTTTGTTTTGAAATAAATACCTAAGAAACACACTTTGAAAAAAAAGCATTCTGCCCGGAAATGGCGTTAGAACACTTCTATAGAAAGTGCAACATTTGTCCAAAAAATATAAAATCTTCAAAGATTATGATCTCGGAAGATTTTATAGAATGAAAATTTTTCTAAAGAGAAGATTTTTTTGAAAATGCTCAAACATAATTTTTGATCAAATTTTACCTAAAATTTGTAATCTTTATAAGTCTCTGATAAAATTATAAATTTTTGTAAAATTTTTTTTAATCTTCTTTAAAAAAATTTAGATTTTTGTTCAAAATATTTAGGCGAGATCATCTTTAGGTGCTGATCTTAAGATTTTTGTTAAACCCTCTTCTTTATGATAGCTGGGATGGGGGGAAGGCATCGTCAAATAGCAATATATTAAATGCGAAAAAATAATTATTGATACTTATCAGTCAACTCAAAATTAATTATAAGTCAAATTTAAAAGAGATAAAAATAACAAAAAACGATTAATAGCGGTTTGTTAATGTTGAATGCCTGTTTTAAAAAAATATTAAACATAAAATAAAATTAATTTTTTATTTCATTAATGTTTAATTTAGGAATCAAAAATTAGATATCGAAAGATAAATTACTAGCAAAAATGCCAATCCAAATTAACTATTTTGAAATAAATTACCGCTTTTTAACATCTATACCCAAATCCTTCTTTAAAATTTCTTTTATTAAACATTACAACCCAAACGAAAGTCATTTTTTTTCATATTAAATAAGTTCCATCTTTAAAGCCTAATATTTTATTAAGAATATTTTCCTAGTTTTATTAAAATTTCGGTACACATATAAATAAGTTTTTTTTCCCCTATTTAATAATAGTTTTTTCACTTTCTTATTTTTTTCCCCCATAATATTATAACTTTGTAGGTAATTATTATTTTTTAAATACCTTTATAATAAGATATGTTACTAAACCAATCTGTTACAACAAAATTAATGTAACACTGACTCCTTTTATTTATCAGGGGTTCTGTCAGATTTGATAAGTATTAGATTAAGTGATAGGAGACAATTTTGGCATGATACCATATAATATAATAAAAAATATATCAAAAATTAATTTTGTTGTTTCCAATTCCATAATCGCATCATGAGGATAGTTAATTTTTTAGAGATTCTACAACTTGTAAGTTTTAAGCAAACGCATTATTAAATCTGTATGGGGATATAAACGTCTAAAACGATTTCTTTTTTGAGAATTTTTTATATCCCTCTAAAACAATCGCTCCCTCCAGTAGATATTTTTTTATTAAAATTTTTATTTAAAAAAATAAATCACTTGAGAATTTTAAATATATACAATCCTCATACAAAAAGAAAAATGTAAATCTGTAATCCATTTTTATAATATTTAGGAAGCGACAAATAGATTGATCATTTAAAAAAAAAGAAGGAAATCAACGTTTACGACATTAAAAAAAATTTTGAACCTAAATGACATTCAAAACTTTCATGATATTAAAATAAATTTTGGTAAGGCCAATCAAAAATGCTAAACAGAAAAATGTTGTAAATTTAAAAGCAGTAGTAGTAGAGCCGTATCCTGGATCTTATTTTGATGCTTGTTCAAAAATAGATAACAACTAAAATATCTTATTTAAATCATTTTCAATAAAAATAACAAAAATTATACTTTCTTTCTTACCGCTTATAATTTTTCCATCATATTTTCCTCCTTTAAATAATTTTTATTTCCCGGTCAAACTCTGATTTTTGAACAAACAATTGTATTAGTAGAATATGATCCTATTCACGACAATTACAATCTAAATTTGATTTCTAATTTATTTATTTTTCTCACTCTATATTTTGTTGCATTGAAAATTTAAATTTATTTTAATGAAAATCGATAGAATATCACTTATGCGATATGTGATTCTGACCTGAGTCAAAAGGCAATTCCTTAGCTTATTTCGAAGAATAATAAATACATAAGCTTATATAAAAGTGAGAAAGAAATGATTTAAGAACGAAGCAATATTAACAATGTTGGAACTAAGAGTGCCTAAATAAATTATAAATATTATAATATATTGAATTATAAATTCAATTCATTTATAAAAAAAATGATTAATGGAGCGCCCCCGAAACCAAAACCAGTTTATTAGGTGGCGGCTAATTCGGCGTTCCGATGAACGCTGATAAATTTTTTTTAAAAAACCATCATCGCCGGAAGAGATTTTGGTGCACAGTTGTAGTTGTAAAATCACAAATAAATTAATAAGTTATTCCAACGATGAAAATTCGAAAAAAAATAATATACTCAAGGAACAGGAAATATAATATCGTTAAAAATTTATTTGTCTAAATCAATAATTAACCAATATATTTTAATATATATTATGCACCGTGTATTGGATATGCATATGGGGTGTGTTTTACTAGGAATGGCACCAAATAGTTACGCCACCGATATCTTGAATATTCGAGTAAAATTCGATAATTTCTTAATCACTAGCTCTTAATTAATATTAAAAAATACAACTTGTGCCTAATTTTATAATCTAGTTGATACAATTTAAATTATCCATTCTCATGATTGTTTCAGGAATTTTAACAGGAGGCATTTTTAAATAATAATTATAAATGATGGGCCATATTAATTTACTAAATAAAATAGAAAATAGAGGGAAATCATTAAAGAATCTAAATAATATTAAATAATCTTTTAGAGGGGGAAAAAATGCAAACAGACGTTAAATTTTTTTATACGAACTTTCCGGTCATCACATTTTTAATGTCAATATCAGAGACTCCGAGTCAGGCATTATTTTAATTTTTTATAATTTACCAGGGCCAGGTTAGGCCAGGCCTAAAATTATTTTTAAAAAATAACAGGAGTCTAAATATTTTTTAAAAAAAATACCCGGCCTGGGTCAAATATTTTAAAACCTAATATTTTAAATCACCATTGTTATCTATAAAAATTAAAAATAAATATAATATATTTAAAAATTTTTAAAAAAAAATCCGGGCTGAGCTGAAAAAAAATTTAAAAAAAATACGGGCTTGGCTTGGCCGAAATTTTTTTAAAAGTAAATGGTACCTCTGCAGGTCTCTGATCTATATCTTATTTTTTCACAATGTCAATTACAGGCGCATAGCCAGTGGCTCCTACAACGGGGGGGGGGTCCGAAGCAACTGCTTCAGTAAATTTGAGTGGGGGTACCTTTTTTTTTTAAAATATATTTTTTTAATTTTTTAAAATTTTTTTTAAAAATTTTCTTTATTATTTAATTCTTCTACTGTTTTGTTACATCCATCATGATCAAGTGATTTCTGGTTTATAAATGTAATAATATAACACCCCCCCCCCCCCCTCCAACTTAATATTTTTTTGGTCGATGTTTAGTAAATTAAGTTGTTATCCGAGATTTCTTGTCATAAATTATTTTTCCAATTTTAAAATATGCCTAAAAATATTAACCAAAAAAAAATACAAATGCCTAATTAAAAATTGCAAATCGCATAATATAAGAGATGATAAATGGATAGATCACATTAGAAAAAGACATGGTGGGCTTAATTTTAACGATATAAAGAAAAACTTTCAAATAGTAGCTTTTAAGAATGTTACTTAAAATTGGACAAATAGCAAAGTAATTTTTTATTAAATATTTAATTATTTATACTTATCTTATAATAAAGGGTATTAAATCGCAATTTAAGAAAAAAAAAGTAAGAATTGGGAATTCAATGCTGTTGGTATAATAAATATTTTTAGTTAATATAATTATCTTTTAAAAGTGTCCTAATAATAAAGAAAATGTATTAGAAGAAAATATAGTATCTGATGATTCTGATAATGATCATGAAATTAGTGAACCTGAGGTCATTTAATTATTTTTTATCTCTGCTATATTTTTTATAGGCAGACACAGAGCAGAGATTTGATAAAGTAGAACAAGAAATTCCTATTATCTCTCTACTGGTAATAAATATTAATTTAGCTTTATTAAATTTTAATGAATACAACATATGCAGTTTAACGAAAGATTTAACAATGATTCGATGAAATTTTTACATCAAACATCATTTTTTACGCCAAAGGGAATGGCAGAAAAATCAATTATTAAAGAAGATATAGAGGATATCTGTGAATTTTACAATTTAAATTCAAGTCAAATTTTCAAAGAAATGTTGAAGTTTAGAAATATTTATAAGTTGGCCAAAATGGGGAATGTAATTATTACTTATGACCTAGAGGTTCAAGAATCTAAAGATTTATCAGATTCTGAGAATTGTAAATTTATTTAATTAAAATATTTTTACCAATACATTATTTAGCTTCTTCTGATGGTAATGATAATTCAGGGACTTACGATTAAGATTGGAAAAACTATTCATTTATTTTACCTTATCGTCTACTTTAAAATTTTTCTGCTTCTAATTTAAGAATTTTATATAAATATTTATTAATCATTCCTACAACCTCATGTACTGCTGAAAGAGTCATGAGTAAAATTAAATTAATTAAAACAAGACTTCGTAGTACCATGAAAAATTCATTTCTCAATAATTTAACCATATTATCAATGGAAAAAAATTTATCTAAACAATTAAATATTGATGAAATTATAAATTCTTTCGCTTTCTCTTCCCCTAATTTATCTAAATTATAAATTTAAAAATAATATTTATAAAGTATATATTTCTTTCATTTTATTTTGATGCAATAAAAATTATTTTTGAAATTTATGGGTGCCATAAAATAATTATCATTTTTTCGAGGGGGGGGGGTAATTTTCAAGGGGGTACTTTTCAGGGGGGTATTCTGTTTCATTCGCTCAGAAAGTGTAGGGGCCACTGCGCATAGCCAAGTTTTTCTCTAGGGGGGGTAATTTTCATTAAAATCATTTTTTGGAACATTAAAAATTTATTTGATCTAATCATCATATAAGATTTATTAAAACAATCTGACAATAAACTCAAATAATTGTTAAAAAATATTTAAAAAAATTTAAGAGCGAATATAATATTGTTAAATAATTTTATAGCTACATATACCGGTATGTACACCACAATAAAATATGGAATTATACATTCAAAAAAAATCAAGGGTGTCGGTAAGACAAAATTTATAAAATGCTTCTTCGGATTGGGACGGACCTGAAATAGGCCCGATGTAGGCCTTTATATTAGAAGCAGTCTACTATAGAACTGTATTGTAACTCCATTTTTCATTAATTTAATAAGGTCATTTTTTATGATACAATATTTTGTTGTCAATCGAAGATCAGGATGTCTAAATTTTTATTTTATTTTTCTATAATCACCTCCTTCCAAATTTTCCAAAATAGAATTTAAATTAGCCCTAGCGAAAAGTTCACTATTATAACATTTATTATCCCAATTTCTCTTGCTTTGCCATTTGATTTGGGATTAGTCTCTATATCGGACCTGGTTAATGTAAATAATAATATCGAAAAAAGTTATAGTATAATGAAAAAAAATTAAGAATATTTCAAAAAGAAATAAAACAATAATGAAAAGAGAAAAAAAATCATATAAAAACATAATAGCTATTTTATATGATTTAAGCGCCCTCTTGTGTATCTATATTATTTGTTTATAAAATATTAGACTTTGAAGAGAAAACATTTAATATGATAAAACATAACTTGCCTGGTTGTTGCATTGTTCATTATTCGTCATCTCTTTGGTATCACGGGTTAAGAATATTTCCAGTTTGGTTTAACATTTGGTTAGAGATGCCAAAAAAGGGTATTATTCTATTTAAAAAATAATGGCAGATTTAAAAATTAGAAATTTTAAAGTAATTTGTAAAAAAAGGTGATAAAATTATGGTTTGTGTGCCATAATTACCATTGATTATTTTTAATTTTTCATACCCCACATTGTAGCACGAAAGTATATAAAAATACGGTATTTATCTATTCTCAGCCGCAAATTCATGCTAACTGTGAATTCAAGGATAGATTGGTTTATTTTTATTTATTTTTCTAAAAATGTTTTTTTGTTTGATGATATTTTTTTTTATCGCAAACCATTTTTAATTTTTACACAATTTTTTTTTGTTGAATGATATTTTTATTACAGAAAAATAATGTTATAGCCATAATTTGACTTTTTTTAAAAATTCTAAGCATATATTTTGATCAATATTCTTTGCTAAATAAAAATGATTTTCAGATTTGTTACCAATATTGTAGATAATTTAAAAATTTAGACTTAGATTAGATACCTTATAAAAATTGGCGGAATATATGAGAATCGCGAACATTATTATATTACAACTTAGAAAACTAAAAGATAATGTCGACAAGATTATATGTTTTGAGAATCACAAGTCCCGGCTTGCACCTTGACAGACAAATGGTTTAAATCAACGTTCACTCAATTGAAGATTAAGCCCCATTTAGATATATTTTTGACTCAAATCAACGAACGATTGCAATGATTTATCAAATTGCTCTATCCAATTTACAAATATGAATAAATCCTTCTTAGGATATATTAAATCTTGGAAAAAATTTAACTATTTATTCAGAGGATATAAATATATCGGAAGGTCTATTAATTTCAGAATTTAAACCTTGGTATGAAGGATTAATTTTAGTAAATAATCTTCCAAGAAACGCAATGGTTGTCAACAATATAAATTAGTGCAAGCACAAATGAAAAGTTCTTTTTTTATGGGGAGAATAAAAACCTATCTCAAAGGTACGACATATTAAAATAGATTGAATGGAGTAGCTTTACTTAATGTTCAGTAAGATTTAATCCCCAATCAGAACAAATTATTGAAAAATTGATGCAATCTAAAAGATTAAATTTTCATTTGTTAACGATATTTTGATTAACCTTTTAAATCATCATAAAAATGTTAAATTATATATTTTACAGTGAATTACATACCGAAGCTATAATATTTTTTAAACTATATTATATTTTCTCTTAAATATTTTTGTGTTTTGCAATATTTTTTTATTTTAGTTCAAAATTGTCATTTTTGATAAAATTATAGATTATTTGTTCTAATATATTTTAAATAACAAAATAATTTCGACATAAAAAAATATTCTACCCCCCCCCCCCCCCCCCCCCCACTTCCGTAGAAAATTTATGGCCACTTATCTGATTAAAATGCTAATAATAATAAATGGGCAACTCATCTTCAAAGTGGGTTACACTTGCACTCTAATTTATATTTAATGATAACTATATTATCTGAAACATTGAATAAATATTCATTGATATTAATTTATAGGTAAGAATCTCAAAATATTTCCAATTGGAGAGAATACTGGTACTTTGACAAGCTGATTATGATCTTTAGTATCTACTACATTGGTGGTATTTGAAACTTGCATTAGAATGGAAATGTAGCATTTTCATAAGGAAATTTTAAACAATAAGGATCTCTTCTCCTTCTATCACTTTCGAATCCAGATTTAATCAAAGGTTCCGCCTTTCTTGATAGAATCGATTAATATCTCGAAAATGAATTATGTCATGCAAATTAGTCCATAACATTGTGCCAGGAAAAATTTCCAAAGGCTATCAGCTAATGGAAAAGATTGGTTGAAAGCATATTCGGATCAAGATTAATTAAAAAAAATTTTCGAAAATATCTAAATAATCGTTAGCGACGTGACGCTAGGCATAAGGATATAAACGACAGGAACAATAGTCTTATTTCATCCCATGGAATTATTGGAAGAGTGTAGTGTATGTCGGAGTTCTATTTGCCACACATTTGATGGGAGCTGTATATTTTTTAGTCGGGAAATTACGAGGGATAAAGAATGAACTATCATTTATATTATGGATAGAGCAACTAGATGAAAGAGCATAGCAATTTAGAAATATATGAATGTTTTTTTTTCATTTTTAAATAATAAATAATTTATCTAAATTTGTCAATAGGGGCTAGAGCCCCGTTGCCCATATAAAGTAGGCGCCTATGGCAAGATTAAAGGTTAGAAAGTGGGTAAATTTTATCATTTTTATTAATAACCTATCAAATATGATAGTTCCTGTGATTATAAGTAAATCAGTCGTTTTAACGGCAATTCCATGTGGATCATAATCCTATAGTTGGGACATTATTAATTAGTTACAGAAAAACAGAAAATAAATAAGAATAAAAAAGTACAATATAATGCGAAATGAAATTTGAAAATATTTATTTTTTTGTTCCTTTCAAAAAAAATAAACAAAAAAATAAAAAAAAATGCTACTTTCTTTTGGCGCCTTGTTATGGTTTTTAAAAAAAATTTAAAGAAATAAAAAATAAATTTCGATTAAAAGAAAATATTAATAATTTTTATGAAAAAAATATTAACAGGAAAGGAATATTCATTATTATTATGAAAAGGAAGCCTTGCAAAAATTCTGCCCAAACATCCAATAAAATTTCGTAAGAATAACAATTACAAAATCATTATATATAATATTTTTAATAAAAAAATATATCTAATTTTTATTTCTATCTAAATAAAAAACATGCATACTTTGGCGATAAAAAAAAATTATTGTTATTGGTTAATTTATTTTTAAAATTGTTTATGGCATTTTTAATTTCATCAACATATCTAAATATTTAAAATTCTATAAAAATAATTTTAGGGAATGAATATTTGAAATAAGTGGAATTCTTAAAGCATCTTTTTTTTTTTGCACTTTTCACAAAAATCTTAACTCTTGGGGACGATAAAAATAAACTAGTGCTAGATTTTAATTTTAACGTAGCAAATAAAAGTTATTGATTTAAAAAAATGTGATGTATATAACATTTTAGTGATGTGTGTGTGATCTGCATCGGGCCTAATTTTTTAAACCCAGTAAGGCCCGGAACTTTTTAGAAAAATTTGCCCTGCCCGCCACGATCTCAAGCAAAATTTTTCTTATTGGTCCCGAAAAGCCATACCCAAATTAAAAATTATTTGTCCGCCCCAGCCCGAATTTATAAAAAAAAATATTATACAAATAAAAAATATAAGCGACTTGTTTCTTGCAAGAATATTAAAATATATCAATTTATTTACAAAATATAATGATATATTTAATTTAAGCCTTCCGGTTCGTAATTTTAAAAAAATATTAGGCCCGACCCAGCCAGAAACGAATCATTTTTTTAAATAGACCCTGCCCGGGTACAGGCCGGGCCGTGATTTGCAGATCTCTCGGGCCGTGATTTGCAGATCTCTAGGTATTCAAAAGTCTTACTAAATATTGCTAATTTTTTGACACTTGACATGATATTACATTTTATTTATATAAATATTAATTTTTTTTAAAAAAGGATGCTTTTATCATATTGAATATTTTAAAAAAACATAAGCCATCATAAAATATTCAGCCGCTACGAATTAGTTTGGGGGAAATTCGGCTCTTACCTACCTTTACCCGCTATTATCGTAGACCAAACAGATGGCGATATGCCAAATCCTGCAAAAGATCACCTTTGGATTTATTGGTTTGGCGAGAAAAAAATATCTCAAGTATAAATTTCTAAAAAAATAAATATCTACCCAAATCTTTACGAATGAGTTGACATATAAACAAGGCCGGTTCACATTGTTCAACAAGACCTATTTGGTTGACAGCATAACTAGTTGGTTTCTAAACTCGTTCCTAATGCCTCCAACCATTTTTAAAATTTTTCTCGGATTGCGGGCTATCTTAGACGGTCCGGTTGATCTTCATCAATATCTTTTAATAAGACTTCCTATTTAAATTATTATCTTATGGTAGGGTTTCAATGTAAATAATAATTTCATCTTAGCAGAGTTTGAAATGTTCGAAATAGAAAATCTTCAATGATTTTTATATATGAATTTATATGAATTTTTTTTAAAAGAGAATTTTGAGAATGCTCAAACAAATTTTTTGATTAAATTTTACCTAAAATTTTAATTTTTTTTGATCCGTTCTAAACGTCTAAATCAAAAATTGTTAAAAATTGGATATCACTTATATCTCTTAGTAAATATTATAAGTATATTAGAAATTAATATTAAATAGATGCAAGGGAAGTAAACACTTGTATTTAAGTTATGTTTTTAAAATAATTACTAAAAATAGAGGAAATATTATCATTATATGAATAATATTTCCTCCATTTTTGGTGAATTTTTTAAAAAAATAATTTAAATACAGTATTTAATTCCCTAGCATCTATTAATATTAATTTTAATTATACTTAAAAAATTTCCAGGAGATATTAACGAGATTCCCAATTTTTAGTAATTTTTGTTTTAGCGATTTTATCCCCCATTTTTGGTTAAAAGTCTTTTATAAATCACAAATTATTTAAAAAATGATTTTGATCTTAAAAAAATACTAGTTATCATCAAAGATTTTCTGCTCAAAACTTTGGGCCAAAATTCTTCAATTTGTTTTCAAATTCAATAAAAAAAAATTTCCTCCACCAAAAATTAATTACTATTATAATGAATAACACTTAATCGTAAGATTTTTAAAAACAAAAAAAAATCATTATCTTATTATACTAGAAATTAGATATTACGCAAGGTCCACAACTTGATCCGCGCGGACCAATTTAAATACTGCTCAGACTGATAAATTTTTATAGAACTTTTAGCCGCCCAGATCGTGCTTGCTACTCATTTCCGGCTTAATTTTTTTTTTTTAAAATAAATAATATAAAATAAAATACAGCTACGGAAGGATAAATTAGAAAATTTTGCCACTAGTTACAAGGATAATATGGTAAACGAAGCTCGCTATTATTCTAACAAATATCACAGACAGGCCTTGTTTGAAATAATTCAGGTTTGTTTATTTTTTATAATATTCATAGTGACGTCCTAACTTTTTTTAAAATAAGTAGCGCTCCTGTTCAGACAATAAATTAAAGTATCGAGTTACCTTCCTTTTTTTTGAAGTGTTACTTGTTACTTGATTTTTTTTATAAAAAAGTATCGTACAAATAATAAACTGAATTAAAACAAATTATATTATTTGTCATCTCACTTCATGCATTTCCATTATCATTACCTTGATCTGAATCATGATAAATATTTTCCGTGTTCCAAAAGACATTATGGAAATAAAATATTTTTCAATGTAAAAGTGCAATATTTGTTCTTCTATAGCAAGGTTGTTTACTTTACAATGAGTAATTATTCAAACATGGGAAAACAAAATACCTTGGTAACGGCGATACCTTTAAAAAAGTAACTTAAACTTAATTCGTTATTATCTTTGCAGAGTAAGAATTTAACGCCATTACTTTATTCCAATGATGTTTATGACCCTAATTATTAGTCATGACAATAATTTATTAGATTTTTTTTCAAGCAATAAAAGGATCGTTTCTTGTTGCATCACTAATTTGGATGTATAAATATATAATTGGGTATTTTTCAAATTTAAATTCGAGTGACTCCTTTATATTTAAAAACAGTAAACGCCCCTCACTTTAAAAATATTGATAAAATTACTAAGTATCAAATATGTATAAAATTCTGAGCTTGAAATAAACTTTTTCCCTATATCGCAATAGCATAAATGGGTTTATTCCATTAAATTTTCTATTCAATAGTTATTTTTCTTGCTCATAGATTTAAAATATGTTTGGTATCAGGAGTGTTACAGGAGATATGGAAATTCGGAAGTATTAACAGATAAATATGATAGTTCTCACCAGGTAGTAGAATGCTTATCGGAATTCAAAAATATAATAAAACGATTTTCCCAAAGTTTTTCCGTGCTAAGAGATACAAATGCAAAGCGTTCTCCTCACGTTACTCCTAACGCAAGCGAAGATGACCCATTCTTTCCAGCTCCAAGTTTTAATTTATTCTATAAAATAATATATCTTTTGTAAAGTATTTTTGGAATGCCTTTTAAAAATAGATTTCTTTTGCTCAATTTTAGTTAAGAAAAAAATTACATTTTAAAAAAAAAACTATTTTAACATATTAAAAGTAAAAAAAAAACTACTAAATTTTTTAGTTTAAAAGGAATTATTGACCAAAGACCAAGGCATATTATAATACAATAACAAATATATAACAAAATTATGATAAAAAATATAGGTATAATATTGTATTCTTTAAACTTTAACCTGCCATGTTTGCTCAAAAGATTACAAGCTTCCCGAAAATATCACAAAGCATTTAGCCAATACCAAAAAATATTTTGCCACGGATGATACAGGAAGTGATGACACCGATTTAGATAATTCCAAAGATGAAGATGACCAGAAAGCTACGATAGGTATCCTATGCTTCTTCCTTAATTATTTATATTATCATATACGAAACTAATAGTGATCGCTTTTATTAAATTTAATACTTATTTCGAATTGAATCATGGAAATTTAAAACGCAAACCGAATTTTCACCTATTGGTTTTTTAATTTTTGGAAAATCGATTAATAATTCTACGAAATATATAAAATTATATCATTAATTTACGATTTAAGTCATTATTTCTTATGCTTGACAATCCCACCCCATAGAATTTTTTTTTAAACTTACAAACCCCTAATATTTTTATGAAAATTCTAGCATATTTTTTCGGTGGTTATCAACTATATAATTTTTGAATACGACTCTAATCAATTTTTAAATTATTATTAAAGTTGCCCTGTCCAGCATAAATTTATTTTGCGCTGCGCGCCGCTCATACTCATATTCAAGTTTTAGGTGATATCTTAAAAATATTTTATTTTGTAGGCTTTTCAACGAAACTCAAAACTTCAATGTCACTGGAAGGTTAGTAGTTATATTAATATATCATATTGATAAATAGATGATGAAAAATCTATGTATTCAAACATCAACTTCATATAAAAGATTCTAAATTTGCTTTCATTTGTGGATATTAATATATATTATATTAAAAAAGTATACGCTTGGGCTAAATTTTATTTTATTATTTAGTATGGCTTAAAAGGGGATTATTATTATCATTGGCCCCTGGGCTAAAATTAGGAGTATTTAAAATTATTTTAAAACAGACCGATATATTGGCATCCAATTGTTGAACCGGGGTAGATTAGGGCCACTTTTGGAAAATCGGTCTCCATTTAGTTTCTGTTATCTAAATTTCAATTGAAAAGAGTTTAAATTTATAGTGAAAAACTAAGATCATATAAAAGATAAATGCATAGCCAAATCCGGTCAAGAATCGGACCTAAGGCTGCGAAGTTAATAGGAAATCCTGAATTTGAAATTACGGGGAAAACATTTTAAACTTTATCAGAGACCTACAGATAAAGATTTTTGGCACGGCCCGATTTTTTTTCAAAATATTTTTTGGCCCGCCTAGGGTTTTATGTTTTTAATACGGGTTTGGATTTTTTAAAAATATATTATATTTATTTTTAATTTCCGCTAATAATGACGATTTAAAATATTTGGTTTTAAAATATACGGCCAGGCTCGGATATTTAGAAAAATTTTTTTTAGGCCCGGCCCGGTCCGAGTATATTTAATTAGGATCAAGACTGCATGTCTGCTAATTATATAATAAAAAACTTAGATTATGCAAGATAAGTGTACAATTAAAGTCTGTTAAAAATCTACTGACCTAAGGTTGCCATTGAAAATTATTTTATACGTTTAGGGCCTTAATATTCTTTAAAGATGGAAGGTTTTGCGTGTTTAATTTCATTGTGATTTTTTTTTCCTTTAAAAATAAATTTTGATATAGATTTTTGTCTCTCCTGTAAGAATGATCGTGACAAAGTTACATTGGTTCAAGAGCATCCTCTTTTTAAAGGTCACATTTGCTCAGAATGTCAGGTTAAATTATTAAAATAAATGAATACAATTATTTAAAAACTCTTTAAAGTACTTGCAAACTTTTGCTATTATCATTTGTGGCAGCCAGTGACTCCTGTGCCTCCCTGGTTTCAGCACAAGTTAACTATAACAGAAAAACTCATATTGATAAGGGTCAATTAATTATATTTTTTACTCAAATCGATACTAATTATTAAATAAAATGTATTATATTGACTGTAAGAATTGAGTATTAAATATGATTATGATTGAAATACCTAAATTTAACTATACTACTCTGGTATATTCGAGAATTTTCACAGGTGGATATGCAATGGTGGATGTTTGGAATTTATAATAATGATAATATAAACTTTGTGCTGCCTAAGCATAATATTGAGAAAACTTTAGTCACTTTATGCATATTTCGCAGCTACTTCCCGGGCCGTTCTTCTTATGTCGGTCTTATAATTTAATATCGATTTCTTTGATTTTGTCTTGTCTTGTTCCTTCATCGACCTTCTCTATTCCAAGCCGATTGAGAAAATATCAAATTTTAAAAAAATTTAAAATTAATTTTCAATAAATTAGTTTGTATAATCGCAATTTTAGTAATAATAAAAATTCATGAAATTTATAAATAAGTGATATAGAGCAGAGACCATCATGGGCCGGGTATGAGTCTAATATCATATTTTCTAGTGGGTATGGGCATGGGGTTTTGATATTTTTTTAATGAGCTTAGTAGGCTTGGTTTTAAAATTATTTAATTCAAATTTAGCTTGACACAAAGAAATTGCCATTTTTTTTTATTTAATAATAAATTTATGTATTGTAACAAAATGACTGCAAATACACTTAAATATTGCTAATTTTTTATTAAATATAATAAATTAATTTTTTGAATATGGGTTTGGACCGGGCTTAGAAATTTTTTTGAAACTTATTATGGACTTGGTCCAGGTTTGGAATTTCTTTAATATTATATATGGGCCCGGCCTGAGTCTAAAATGTTTTTTACTGCGGGCTTGTATTTTAATCGTAAGATTTTGTTTTCGTCCATTTCGGTCAAAATGGACTACATTATTATTAATACGAATTTTTATGCAGGTAATAAATAATGAATGAGTTAACCCATTTATTTTTATTAAAAAATAATTTATTTTATTTTATAAAGGATGAAATGTTGCAATGCATCACGATCCAACATTACGACGATGTTTATGTAATAATTATGAATATTATTTCACTACAATATCTAGAATCTTTTATTTTTAAACTATTATAAATTAGAATGATCTTCTTTATTTCATTGTTTAGAACCGGAAATCAGAAAACCATCTCATAAATTTATATCAATCGGAATTAGAACCCAGTGATTTTTTTTTACAAAATTAATCATTTATAAATCTTTAAAATTTTCATATCTAAGAAAGGGCATCAGAACATCTTTACAATATTTGCAGGAATTGGAAATTAGTTAAGGTTTCAAACACTGGAAATAAATTAAGTATTTAAAATTACAAACGAATAATAAATTGATAAAATGAAGAGAAATAAAATTATCCATAGCATCATCGTAAAAAAAATAAAAGAGTTTTTCGTGTTTTTATTTCTCTTATTTTGAATTGGAAATCGAAATACATTTTTATTTTCTTGCTTAAAAAACGATTTATGAGTAATTATAAATGACAATCTGTTATAAAATTTATATTTGTTTGTATCAATCGGTAGGCCTACTGCGCCATTTGCTTCGAGGGCGGAAGTATGTTCGTGTGTTCGAAACAAAAATGTTTGCGATCTTATTGTGTAAAATGTTTAAAGTCTCTAATAGACCAAACTCCAGATTTTAAACAAGTTATAATATGATTTTATTTTTATAATAATTTTGTTAATAATCTTTAGCCCTGTTAAGTACCGATATGAAAACTAATTATTTATGAATTTATTGAAAAGTTTAAAAAAAGTAGTATAATTATTGAAGCTAACATTACTTTTGCACGCCAATATTTTTTTTAAATATAATTTATAAAAAATAAAAAAAATTAAAAAAAAATCACTCTTTCAATATTTATAAATTAATTTTTTTAAATATTACTTTAATAATTTATTTAAATTTTACGGAGGTTAATAATTTATTTTGTTCTATTGACAATAATAAAAAAGATAGAAGAAAACGATGACTGGATCTGTTTTTTGTGTTCACAAACTACTTTAGGATTGTTGCAACCAAGGAATGAATGGAGAGAAAATTTACTGAACCTGTTTATGCCTAAAAAACCTAACATGGTAATTAATTTTTGTTTTTTATATGATTTATTAAAATATTAGCCTTGTAATTTTATCCTTATATACATTTAATGTTTTCGAGTAGCATATATGGCCTAGTCTGCTCAGTGCGTGCATTACAATCCGATGCGTGTATCACAATCCGATAGTTCTGGGTTCAAATCCAACAAGGGCCATGTTTTTTTTACTAAAGCCAACTACTTGGTTCCTTCCTTGGAGGGGGAAGGGATGATATATAGTAGATGGGGCTAGACCTCGTTATTTCTTTAAAAAATAAATAGGTCATATTGTAATTTAAAAAATGTTGGTCGTTGTTTAGCAAATAGACAAACGGCATATATTATTACCCGAATCTTACTTTATGTTTTTAACTTTTTTGAAGGAATTGATAGATAAGTCACATTTCACCGTACTACATCCGATTCGCGTATTATCACTCTTCGATGGAATTAGTTCAGGTTGTTTTTTTGATCAATATATAAGCAAAAACCTTCGGTAAAATAGTCATCCAAGAGATAAATTAATTTTACTATAAATAAGATTTCATAAAAAAGTATTTAAAGGTATAACTATGTAGAATTGTAGCATCAGGTTTCATTCATGGTTTATAAAATTCTGGGAAAAAAATTTGAAGAATACTCAAAAGAATTTCTAAAAAATATTATATTGCCTATAATATTTAGAGTATCTCATTCGATATTAGCATTACTTACATTTTCAATGTTAAAATTGATAGGCAGATATGCCCTCGAGCAGTTGGGATTCGACATAGACAAATATTTTGCCTCGGAAATTGACAAAGACGCGATTCTCATATCAACCATTCACGGGAATTCTCAAACCATATATTTGGGAGATGTGACAAAAATGACTGAAAAAACGGTGGTGATTGTATTTATAATGATTAATATGGCATATTATAAAAATATAAAGGAATTTTTTTAATTGTTGGAAAATATAATTGAAAATTAATTTTGACCTTGTAACATATATATAATAGGATCATAATTAAGAAGAAAAAAAAACATACACTCATCAGGAATTCTAATAAATTACAATATTCTAATTCTACTAAATATAGAGGACTTATACATTTAAAAAAATATCTATAGCTTTTTTTAGTTTTGATTTCGCGAGAAATCGTCTTTTCCTGCTTGTTTGAAATCTTTAGTTCCTTGAAAATTTGGAAAAAAACAATTTAACATCTTAAAATAAATCTCCAAAAAAATAATTCTTTCAATTTTAAGCATCTAATAAAAAAAATGATTTAGTTTCAGCGCTACATCCCTACAAAAAAGTTTTATAGTATAGGAAATTGCTATAATTAAACATAAAAAAAATTCAATTTAAATTACGGATAAGGAATTTATTTGATCTATTGTGCAATATTATAAATTTTTATTTAATATTAAAAACGTTCCAGCTATGCTAATTCCTCGTTCAGAAAAGACACTAATTGCTGGAATTGCCAATATTTTTTCTAGCTAATCTAGATAGCGTTGATAAATCTTTTCTTGTAGTTTACATCAAAGTAGGATATCCATTTGAAGTATATCCTCTACTCAAGTGAGATATTTAAATAAAAAGTAAATCCATTAATAATAAATAAAAAGAGAAATAATTTAAATTACTTTATAAATTGCAAATTAAACTAAGTAGCCTAAAATCTTGCTAGATTAAACAAAAACTCGTTACTTTAAGATTTAAACATTTTGTTATGTCATTAGGTTATGCTTTCCTCAGTAACAGCCACATCTTCCCATCTATTGTTTAATTTTGACGTGAATGCCACCTATTTCAAACATTGCATTTATAATTTAATAATCATTAAATGAATTATCTTTGCTTTTAAGGAATAAGTTAAATCAGATTTTTATCCCCATTGATTGATGTTATATTCATCCATGCAAACAAATCCAACATATTTTCGGTATATTTTTTACCTAATTAATTTCTACCGATAACAACATCCCCAGTTATCAGTACATTGTTATTAAAAATGTTGAAATTTCAGGGAGCATAATTTTTTTAATGTTTACTTAAATGATTTATATAACAAATAAAAGTTGTAAATTTTTTAATCCGCCCGCCCACCCATATTTTAAATATTTATCTTAACCTACTCACCCGCCCTCCTTTAAAAAAATAACCAGCTCTCCCGTCCACCCATGATGGGCAGGTGGGCTGAAAACCCGCCCAATGCTGACCTCTAAACCCTATATTCTCTCCCCCCTTTCACTCCCTCAAAAAAAATTCGATAATTTTAGAACTAATTGCGTACAGACTGAAGTCTCGCCCCCCCCCCCCCATCCTTGAAATAACTCTTGGCCCTGACTATGTTTGTTGATCCTATATACATATTTTGTTTCGCAGACTTACTTGGAACATATTATTAATCCAATATATATAAAAATCTTATATTAACTCCATTTTGACATATATATATTATACTAAAGATAGAGGAACTCTGTCCTATAGATCTATACATAGGAGGCTCTCCGTGCAATGACTTAGCTTTAGTTAATCATATGAGAAAAGGACTGTGGGGTAATTAATATTATAATAATTAGATTGTTAATTTTTGAACCAACATTTTTATCTAGAACAGATGGTACAGGACAACTATTCTTCGAATATTATAGAATCCTGAATTTGATAAGGAGATTTAATAGGAACAAATCAGGAGATGTCATACCATTTTTTTGGCTCTATGAAAATGTTCTGAAGATGGAAATTAAAACGCGTGATACGATATCTAGATTCCTAGAGGTTAATTTAAAAATTAGTAAATAATCTTGTTTAATTAAAATTACATTATACATACTATAGGCCCGTTCCGACTTAATATACATAAGCATTTTATTTCTAAAAAGTATAATTTAAATACTATAGGACTTGTAATGAGTTTAAGTTGAAAATGATTGTTTAAAATAAAACTTTTACGAAGTAAAATGCGATATATAGTTAAAGGTTAATATCAGGGTGCAGTAGAATATTTTCATAAGGGCTTTGTCCCAAATTCCGTTTTGTCCGGCCTTCGGGCGGGTTTCTTCTATAAAAAATTATTATATATTATTTTCCGTATATAATCTCCATTTAAGTTGCCTGAACAATAGGAAGAACTAATTATAAAATATGGCAACGTTTTGTGCTTTATTATTGTCTGACTTTAGCCAATATAAAGGTAAAAATTAGTAACAAGATTTTGGCTAACCTTAAGATTAAAAAGTAGCATTTATTCTGTAAATTTTATCAATGTTTAGTGCTTAATTGTATATTAATTTAATCCGTTTGGTAGACAGTATAATTGCCAAAATGGGTATCATGTTAAGAAAATATAAAAACTTATATATCTGGCGTGCGCTAATATTTATTGCCTTAACGAGTATCAAATAAGAGAACAAAATAAACTAAGTTATAAACAAAATAAAAACTACGACGTCACGCTTTAAGCATGGAGCCAAGCTTTTGGAAAAACTAGTTCTGAACTTTATTAGCTACATTTTAATATATTATTAAATCTATAATTATTATTTTTTTTTTAAATAAAATTTCAGGGAGTTATGTGGCGCAGAGGGCCCCTTGACCAGGCCATTGTTTAGTATACATGTCGAATTGGGATATGGAATCCTTGGGGATTCGGAATCTCTCTATTTGGAATCATTTACTAATTGACAGAAATTGTATTTTAGCATGTATAGAGTACCCAAATGTAAATTTCAAACAATATTGCCATGACCTGTAGAACTACTCTCAATTTATATTAAATTTTACATGAATTTTTTATATTACGAAAATATGTATGGCGGAAATTGTCTGAAATTTATAGCGTTAATACTCTGCACATCCTAGGATACTTTTCGGGTTAAATCAAATTAAAATTTTTTAAATCGCCCTCGGTAAAAGACTTAGAATCTAGAGAAATTGAATCCTCACGGATTCCATATCCCAATACGATATATATTAGTATATTTTAAGGCAATTAATATTAATGATATACGAGAAGATTATCATATTATTCTTGTGTTAATTAAATTATTCATAATTCTTTACATACCTTTGCGACATAAAAAAAGTGTGATCCTGTAGCTATAAATGCAGCCATGTTTTCCCCGCAAAACCGAACTCGATACTTCTGGGGAAATGTACCGGGCTTATATAGGTTATAAAAGTTTTTTATATTTATATAATTCATTTAGAGTATCGAAAAACTTAAATTCGGCTAATTCCAAATTTTCTCTCCAAAAAAATATATGTATTCTTTAGAAATTGGGATAACAAATTATTAGAACTTCAACACGATCCGAATAGCGAATTTTTGAAAGCTTCTCATGTAATAACTCCTCGCACGGGTAGGACAGCTAGTAACCTTAAAGTCAACTCTATAACAACGAATAGAAATAGTGTTCAAAAGAGCGCACTTTGCACAACAAATTTAGAATGCGTCTCTCAAGAAGATAACCTGCTTAAATGCCCGGTCTACGATAATCTATGGATCAATGAAATCGAAAAGTAACACGATTAAAATTCCTTACAGATTCTTACTATAAAATAAATGTTTTCTTTTAGAATTTTTGGATTTCCGGAACATTTTACCGATTATTGCAATTTGAGCCCCATTAGAAGACAAAAACTTTTGGGAAAAGCTTGGTCAATACCGGTCATCATTCATATTTTATCCCCACTTAAAAGATTTTTTTCTTCTATTTGTACAAAAGAAATATAAAAAAATTAAATAAATTGTAAATCATGCTCATATTATAATTGTTAAAAAAATGTAAGTTGTTAATCTTGTTTATAAATTTGTATTATTTTATATACATTTTTTGTCAAGCAATAATTTTAATTTCAAGGAAATTTTTTATTTCTAACATAACATTATATAAAGATGAGAATAAAGTATTTTTAAGTAATAAATATAGGCAAATATTAAGATTGGCCCAACAAGAAAATAATCATCACCACTGCTGATTTCCTTAAATTTCTATTCATTTATTCACATGATCTGTCAGGTTTGACAGGTTATTAATAAGATTGAATTAACCAATTTAAACCCTAACTAACTCGTATCTCTCAGAGCTTCCCTAGCCCATATCTCTAACCTTTAATCCTATTTCCTAAAAATACTTGTTTAATTGTAAATATATTTTATCTAATTAAAAAATTTTCTACAGTTGAATATTCCTTGAACTGTTTGACCATCAATGTGAATTATATCTTCAGAGTCGTAACCAAAATATTTTGAGAGGGGGAGTGCTTTATTAAACTCTAACCACTTAAGTAGCCAGCATAAATGAAAAAATATTGATAACAAAATTTTGGCCAAATTTATGACGGGTGCATTTTTAAAAATTGCAAATTCATATTCTGTGTTATCCTATCATGTGCTAATAATATTAAGTCTGTAATGGGACGTAGTAAATGACTGAATTGGTTAATTTATAAGTTTAATTATTTATACTTTTTAAAAAATTAAATAAGCTTATTCCAAAAATAAAATACAAGTATGCAAATATTGTGGGAGTTCTATAGTTATGTACGGCCTTGCATATCATATGGGAATTTAGGCAAGGGTTGGAATAATTAGAGTTGTGATATCCTTGTCAGTGAGAGTATTTATTAATTTTTTTAACCGGTTGTAAAACGGTATTGATATTGAGGTTGGAAAAAAATATTGACATTGAAATATTCCATGTCAAGATAATTCCATTTCCCAACCGGTATGAATATCGCGATAGATCTTAAGCAGTTAGGTTGGAAAATATCAGAAGTGTCAGGAACTCATCAGTGATAAGAGATTTAGATAATATTGATTTCACATTGTTATCAAAAATGCGGCTGCCTTCTATATTTATACATGCTAAATCAATCAAGGCGGGCCATATATCGATTAACACTCCACAACTTCAAAATTAATTTTCACTAAGTAAAAAACCAAGGGAGAATATATGGACGAGATTGATCCATTTTTGCAAGGGCCTTTAATAGTTGTTAATCAGATCCATCAATGAAAAAGTCAAGATATCTTTAGTGATAACAAAATAATTTTTGAAAATGAAAAGTTAAGAAAGGCGTGTCAGATTTGTTTAGAAGATGGTTGAGGTAGAACCGCTAATGGGAAAACTTAGGGAACAGGTCTAGTTAGACCTGCAGTACATTATTCGTATACAATTCTTTTAACGAATCGAATATTTTACTAATCGTATTAGTACGAATAATAAAATTTGCTATTATATTTATTCGATTCGAAATATTCGTTTTTTAAATTATAAAATAATTAATAAGAAAATACAGATTTTTTTATTGGGTTATGAATAGATATTAGAAGGTTTATTAAAAAAAATGTAATAATAATTCTGGATATTTTGATATTTTCGTTACTATCAGATTCTAATCTTCAGAACGAATCGAATAATCGATTCTTAAACCGGGTTAAATGCTATGTTGATTTTGGGATTATATAAAGGAGGTATGCATTTTTCTGAGGCCCTGGTTTATACGGGTCTTTTAATATTTTAATGCATGCTTTATTATCTTCAAATAATTTGTTAGCTTTAAAATGATATTGAATTTGCTATATTTTTACATTTATAATAAAAAAAATTCCGATCTAAGGGTACCCCATATAACATTAAAGGTTATTTCTTTAATACATATTTACAATTATTCTTTCTTTGATTATCAAACTCCTTTATCCATAAACTTGCAAAATTATTATATGTTTCTTTTCAGAAAACGTTGAGGGTTTAATCAATTTTAATGAGATTCATTAGCGATTTTATAATTATTTAGAAGGAGATCAAATCTTAAAAGAGACTGCACATAGAATTTGTTTCTTCTTTTTTTAATTTGGAAAATAATTCATAATAAAATTTTTTGAAAAAATATAGCTATTTTTTATAATTTACCCTACATTTGGAAAAACAAGAAATTAAAAATATCGAAATATTAGATCATTGCCAGGAAATGTCCAAATTAGGTGCTACAAAATTTGATTATTGTGTATATTCAGCTGTAGACGCCATTAAAATACCTATAAAAATACAAATCGAATAATTGCATTATTCGTATTCGATTCGAAAAGAATTATTCGCATTCGTACGAATAATAAAATGATTATTCGATTCGAAAATTTTATTTAACCATAAATTAAAAAAGATTGAATATTAATTTATTTTGTAAAATTTAACTATGGATAAAAGACAAACAAATTTTATTAGTAAGATAAAATAGTAGATATAGTAATGAAGAAAATATAATATTCATATCATGTAGAAGACAAACCAGACAACAACCAACTTTTTAAACAGTTTTTCGGATTTATATTTGGTAACCATATGCGCTCCAACCAACAGAAGAGAGTCGCACACATGGGGTTGAATCCTTTTATTAATAATGCCTCTCTTTGGGCAATGAGAAATTCCTCTGAGATTAAATGGTGATCTTTAATCCCCATAATCATAAATTTATAAATTATCCCTAAATTAATGATGTATTTTTTATCTATATATTAAAAAGAAAGTTTTAAATTTTAGAATGATTGGTAAATCAGATATTTCTCCTTTTTTTAATGAATAAATTAGAAATTTGCCTATCTTATGAGATGTGACCCAAAAATTTATTTTGATGAAAGATGGTTACTAAATTTCCATTATTTAACAAAACGTTAATAGAGTATTAGTACCTTGTATATAAATAATTGCAGGGAAATAATAAATCATCAAAAAGTTATGCAATCTAAAATAACGTATGCAAAACTCACATCTAGTAACATTTTACAAATAAAGTGATAAAAATTTAGGCAAAAAGTTAAATTTATGATTTCTCCATCATCAAACAAAGGAGAAGTATATGGTTCGCCCGTCATTCTTGACGTGATAGTTACTAGTTTATTATAATTGTATATGTGATAATAAATTGCATATAAAAATAAATACTTTCTTTGTCCATCATAAAGCAATTTTCGGAAGCTAATTTTGTATTATGAACTTATTCAAATTAAAACAGCCGTTAACAACAATTTTAGAAAAATAAAATGTTTCTTAATTATTCCACTATGTAATTTTTATTAAATAGAAATAATTTCAAATAATTCCTAATAATATATGATTATTTTCCAATATTTATTAATACTATAAATTATTTTAGTCGTATAATAGATAAAAAATTATTAATTCGTCTTAGATATAATTAAAATTCATCTTGTTTAAATGCCTTTCAATGCATGTACACTTTTAATGTATTCTAAATCATTAGTCTAGGTTAGTATTATTCAATGAATGCATACTCTATTTTAAATAGACTAAAAATTTTATATTAATATTATATTATTATAATATATTAGGTCGTTAAACATCAGTCTGGTTTAGTATTAGTCAATGAATGCATGATTTTATTTTAAATAGACGGTAAAATTTTGTATTAATCCTATCATTTATATTTTAGGGCGTTACAACAAATTCCTTAAAATCCAAAATCTAGACATATTTTGATATTATTAAAATAAAGAAAATCTGAAAAATATTTTTCATTTTAATTTACATTGAAAACAATAAAATTATTTACATCATTTGTATTTGTATCACATTTTGTTCTATAAAATAATATACACATTGATTTTTATTTATAATAAATAATATACAATATATAGTTTAAAGCTGAAATAAAAGTAATTAATCTATTAACTCTTCTTCTTGCTCTTCTTGCTCCATGGAACCTTCTAGAGCATCTACAGACATTGTTTTTTGAGCTGCGCTTTCTACATATAAAACATTAAAAAAAAAATTTTAAATCATGAACCATACATTTTCTAAAATAAAAAATAAAGATTACTCAAAGATGTAAAGTTTTAACTAGCTTTAACAATATAAGAATTTCTGGCGTAGATAATATTATAAACATCTTAAATCCTTAAGTATACTCTAAAATTTTGTCTATTTTACAACATATTTTAAATATTCCGCTCGGTTTTGCACAACAACTGTAAAAATTAGATAGAATTTTTTTAAAAACCCCTAGCGCTGACTAATTGAGCCGATATGAAGTTAACGTGCGTATTGTAAATGGCTTGAACGCTTCTCCTAATGCGCAACATTTCTCTTACTGTATCTTCGTTTCCGTGCTTAACTTCAAATTCCTTCCATATTTGCCAATATTCAGGGTTTGTCTTTTAATTTGAGGAAATAGATAGTTAAAAATGTATATTTAATCTACTATTCATGAAAATGGTTGACCTCAAGAAATTGGGCCGAGTAAAGGGTCTAAATTAAATTAGATGACGAATAGGAGTAAGAAGAAGCGTGATGGTTTATAAATTTGAAATTGTTATTAACTTAAAATAATTTATACTAATCTAATTATTTTCTTAAACTCAATTTAAAAAAAAAATTATAATCAGATAAAGAAAGAAAGGAGGTTTTCTTAATTTTTTTTACTTATAATTTATGATTATGATACTTTTAAAAATTTCAATATTAATCATAATTGAGTTTAAATATTAATGAATTGTATCTTTGCTTCTTTTTCTTCAATAAACACTATATATAAATATAATATCATTTTTGTATCGATTTGCAGTACCTGTATCGGCTGGTTAATATTTTTTGTTATTATTAAAAAATAGTTACTCTAGGATCGGCCATTTGGGAACCATGGGCGTATATAGCTCGGCCCCTATCAATTTCGCCTAGTTTGCATTCTAGTTCTGAAAATTGCAAGCACATTTCTCTAAAGTTGATAAAATTAATTATAAATAATATATAATGTTTAATTTTAGTATCATTTTCTAAAAATATATAAATACACATATTCAATTCAAATATACCCAATAACTTAACATTCTCATCGTTACTTTTCAAGGATTAGATGGCAGGATATTTATTTCAAAAACTTCTAAAATGAAAAATGTTAAGATATACCCAATAATGTATAAATATATACTACTAGATTGGCGATTCACTAATTAAATCCATTCAAAATAGGAGTCAGCTGTAGTGCTATTTTTTGATCTATACGTCGATTAAAGTACATTAAATGGCGCTACAGCTGACTTCTATGCATGAACAATTTTTAAATTTTAATTAAAGAATTGCCAATATACTTATATATAGATCATTGGATATACTATGCAGCAATTTTATTCAAAAAAATTAGACGGGAAAACAAGTTTTTCGTCCATCCATCCCAACATCATTAATGTTAGATTGGATAGATAAATAAATTACATAAAGAACACATTTACCTAGCCTGATTGTTGGGCAGCACCTCAATGGCTTTTTGATATATGGTTCTCGTCTTGGGTAGACCGAAAATACGAGCTGCCCTTTCGATGTAGATTTGAAACATTTCGTATTTTTGGGTAGGAAGAACATGCAAAGTGGCCCTATCGTACACTGACATAGCATGGCGAGAGAGACCATAATCCTCTTCTAGTTTAGCGTAAAGAAGGTAAATGGCTTAAAAAAAATAAAGAATAAAATGTAAACATTGTTTAAAGATTAATTATCAATTGATAAAATAATATAAGGATTATAAACTATAAAATAAGTTTCAAATTTATTGAGTATAACTCTCATAAAGCGATTAGATACCGCAATTTCCATCTAGTTTATGGATAAAAAAATAAGCGTCCCGCGGAAACTATTTCTTGCAAAATAAACGCATCGCTGCAACACATAAATAAAATTAATAAGAAACTAACATTTAGCGAATTTCGGTGGGCAATGTTCCAGACATTGTTCGAATAGATCCCGAGCTCTTTCTAGCTTAGTACCACCGTATCGTTCGACGAATTTGGATAGATAGGTATTCCATATGTCGTAAACATTCGGCCATTTAAATAAGGCGATCCCTTTTTCGTAAGCCTTGAAAGCTTCCTCGAAGTATCGATTTTCTTCCAGGAACAACCCATAGTTCATAATTATTTGAGGAGTGGCTATCCTTAACTCAATTATCCGGTCGTATACGGCTTTGGTTGACTAATGTAAAATTTATAGTTATTATATAAGTGGGTTTATGAGTTATTATTAGTACTAGTTTTGTTAAATCATTTAATTCGCCTCCAAATATTTGAAACTGGCTAAATAGATTTGAACTAGAGCACCCTATTTTAGTTTGTTTCAAATGTTTACATCATTAAATAAATATTTTGGTTTGGAAAGAGTTACAATACTTAACCTAATTAAATCTAAATAGTCTCTTCCTTTTTAGGCGGTTTAGAGGGAACTATAGAGAAGACTAAACAGGCTACTGTTTAGAAATAAAACGAACCAGAATACGACCTGAAAATTTAAAGACAAAAGAACAGAACATATAGTCTCTTCCTTTTTAGGCGGTTTAGAGGGAACTATAGAGAAGACTAAACAGGCTACTGTTTAGAAATAAAACGAACCAGAATACGGCCTGAAAATTTAAAGACAAAAGAACAGAACATACTATAACATAACAAAGTAATGGTAATATTTGGGAAAAATAATGTCACTTAAAAAGAGTTCGAAATAAACATATATAGGCAAATAACTAATGCACCTTTCGGTAATCTTTAGAAATGAACTATAAATTTAAGCTTAAAAAAACGTCCGTATACTTTTCTAGATAAACCAAAGAAGCACTCAAACCACAACCGTAAATTTCTAGCTTAATATAACATAAAACAATTAAAAAATATTAGTAATAAAAAAACGTTAAATGTCCCAAAGCTTTCTTCCAAATCGGCATAGAGGGCCCAAATTTTGAGACATTTATGCACTCTAGCTTGCACGGTTTCCGTTTCATCAAAGTAATTAGTTGCAATTGTGGACCCCATATAGGGTGTGGAAGCTTTTTGTAAAATATCCAAGGCTTTATCGTAATTTTCCCACCTGATCTCCATTTCTACGCTCGAGCACCAGACTTGGGCAAGGTGGTCCACTTTAGCGTACCGAGAATCTTTAACGGCTCTGGAATATATCTGCCGTGCTAGATTTAGGAATTTTGTGTGGGTAATGTTATCACTATCTGCCTCGGCAGTTTCATTTGCCAATTCTGCATGATTTGATGGGGGTGTACCGGCCTTTAAAAAAAAAAAAATAAACATATTTTGTTAATGCTTTGTTAAATAAATAATAATATAATACATATTTTCTTAATATTGATTTCTTATTCCAGATTAAAATTAACAAGAATATAACTATATATATGGTAAATGAAATGAATATTTAAATTTTTTATAAAAATCTTAATATACCAATTTTGGGCATTTATAATAGTCAAATTTGAATTGGACCTGATTTATCTAAACCCGATCCCACAAATATATAAATGACTTTTCTAGTCTAGAAGAAGAAGCAAAGAAATATTTATATAACCGAATTTCTTTGGATATTCTTCTCAAAGTAAATAATACTTGAAACCAATACAAAAATAAATATAAATGACACAACCACGCACCTCCTTTCCAAATCAATAATATGTGATCCGCGATAGGGAGGGTCTGGTAATGTAGACGACTAATTCAAATTGTAAAAGATTATATATTCAAAAGTAGAAAAAAAACTTGTTTTTCGTAAAAATCGGCATATGCAATCCAAAGATCGGACAAACGGCCCACTGTCAATTTTGGTTCATTCACCGTTTTAATGGCATCTTCGAAAGTTAAGATAATCTTTTAATCCATAAGTATATTTAAAAATGTTATATTAGGTACTGTAAACGCTTTTACATTCTCAAAATGTAGTGCGCTGCTAATTTTAAATTTAGTATCTCTATTTTCTTCTTGGCATGAATACAAGAATTACTGGATAAAAATTCCCTGAAAATAAAGTAAAAATCTCCAATTATAATTTATATTTTATTTTGTTTATTTTAAATAGGTAAATAATATATTCATTGTTGAAAAAAAGGATTATATCAATTAAAAATATGAATGAAAGAAAGGGTCTATGTTGATTGTTTTAGCTCCTAGAAAATTTATGATAGTGAAATTATTTCCTTTTTTTTACAATTTTGGGAATTAACTTAAATCTAAAGAAGATGTATTACTTCGAAACACCAGTTCGATATTAAATTATATTGTAATAAACTAAGCGGCTTTTTTATCGAGTTTTTATATATATGAATAGCTTTCACAAACTGATCAAAACCGATTGATTCATCCTCCACATATGTTTCTGGGTTGGGACCGTCATTCAAAGTTATTATTAAAAAGGTTTTAAGTGTAAAAAGGATTAACGAGTTTTATCAATATTTATTTTATAATTGGTTCACCTGTTTTACTAAAGCTTTATTTATAATGAAGCATAAAAATAATCTATTAAATCAGATCTTTCGCGTGGCGTGAAGAGCAATCCATAATTCGGTACTAATCCCGCTGATAAGATCGCATTAAGTCAAAAAGGCCTATGAATCTACCATCGACAGAAAAATTAAAATCTTTCCCTTGTTCGCATGACATGTCATTGACGTATTCGGTAATTGATATAAACCAATTGAAAAAACAATATAGAATATTGAAGATTATCATCACTCTTTTCATCCACCCGAAAACATAAAATATTATTGAGAAGATTTCTCCTAAAGCAATTAATGTATGCTGAAGATGGAATAACCAGTTTACACTGGTTGTTGTAGGACCGAATTCATGTAAACTCTAAAATCAAATAGAGGTACGATATGATTACATACTAAAATATGGTTAAAAAAATAGAAAAATAAAAGTAAATAGATATATTTACTAGAATTTGAATACTATAATTTTTTTTAGAAAATAGCTAAAACAAGCAGGATATAGCAACACCAATAAATTTGAAACGAAAATGGATATATATTCAAAAATGAATGAAAAATAATAATATACCCAAAAACGTAACCAAAGGGGGGGGGGGTCGTAAATTTGCTTATTCTAGTAAATATAATTTTAAGCTAATAAAAATCACCAACCCCTTATTCTCCTCCAAAAATGTACACAATACATCATGAATATTTTAAAGTAAAAGTTATTAACTTTTTAAAATAAATTATAATTCAAATGTTTTAGAAAAAAGCATTTTTATAAAAAAAATAAGTGAAAACCCAAAATTATGTTTTATAAATATAAAATAAAGACATAAGGCCTACAATAAGTGGATCTAAAGACCTTCAATAAAATTTAGGGGAATAACCCACCTAATAGTTCCATGATTATATCTATAAAAAGTATATACAAATTTAAACGTTTTATACTATAAAATAAATATTTATATTATTGTTGTAAAACATATTCGATTTATATGAATATAGGGAAATTCCTTACCTCGTTGCCCGACCATTATATTGTTCTATAATATCCAAATTTTTGCAAAAATATTTTTTTTTTGATAACTCAATTCTGACCTGAAAATAAATAAAATTTTCCGGATTTAAAAGATGCACTTTACAACTTTTTTATTTTTTTAATATATATAGCGATGTTTGTATTGTATAATAGAAGAAATAACATAAGAAAAATTAAAATAAATGTGGTTCTCATCCTATGTCTTCCATTTCAGGCTTATGTTCGGTTCTATTGCTACAAAAACAAATAAGCATACTTATAACTTAACAATATTTTATTTAATTCATGTATCAAAAAAAAGATGTAATCTAGTGATATCAAAATTAATTCAATATAGAAGCATTAACTGACACCGATTGATACCAACAGTGGTGGTAATCAGCCCATATCTGGCTTTGAATAATTTGATTCGAATAACATATTATACATAATCATATCCGACGAATATGAATAATAAATTATTAGTTAAAACGAATCATATAATCAAATCTCGCCTAACCAAAAAAAAAAAACAAATGTGCAAACTCAAAACAATTATAAAATTTTACTTGTTGATCATCGCCATCGTAAAGCTTAACCCTTTTAAGCCATTCGTGAACGTTGTGAGGATTCTGTCGCAATAAAACTGAATTCAGCAAAAGCAACCTACGTTCCATTAAATTTTCGAGCCTGGCCAACCTCAATTCTAGCTCGTTGTCTTCTAATTAAATACATGAAGAATTGATAATATTTTTTTAAAAATATTTATAGATTATAAAGATAAAATAATATTAGGTAATTATAACTAAGGGACGCAATCAACCTTTAAATATCGGATCGATCCGACTATTCGTATATTTTTAAATATCGGTTATCACCTAATATCGTTAAATTGGCCGATCTAATGCGCCAAAATTTAGTATCATTTTTTTAAAAAAAGAGATAATGTGAGTTAAAATTTATAGTGAAGGAGAGTAGTCCAGAACGTAGTTAAGTCATGTCGGGTCTTTGAATCAATGGACCATGAATCGACTCTGAACTCACTAGATCGATCAATAGGTTTTTTTATTTTTTATAGATTTCAATTAACAAAAATTAGAGACCTATAGAGGTATTATTTGCATGACCCAACCCAGATTTTTTTGGTTAAAAAATATTTTCGGATATGCCAGCCCGGGTTTTATATTTACAGGCCCGACCCGGATTTATTTAAAATAAATTTTATTTATTTTTAATTCGCGAATAATGGCGATTTAAAATATAGGGCTGGGCCCGAGCATTAAAAAAAAAATTTTTAGGCCCTGATTGGTGTATTTTATATTTAAATAAAAATACAACCCGTGTATCCGGGCTGATAAGGAAAGGGTTTAGCATTTGCTAATATAAAAAAATCTTCAGAGATTGTCAAAACAAAATTTATACGATTAATTTTATCATAAAAGTTTCTTTACATTAAAATGATCAAAAAAAAAATAACAAAAGATTTTTGTTAGAAATTTAATGCGAAAAAAAACTTCATTCAAAGAAGATTTTTTGTTTAAAAACTGATAAAAACTTCCAGTTTTATAAATAATTTATAAATTTTTTAGTAAGATAACAATTTTTTTTTGAAAAAAACCTGCTTCTGTTAAATCTGAATCTGAACTCAATTCCATTATTTTATTAATAGAACTTTCTTCGAATTGAGAATACGCATCAAAAACCTTTTAAAAGAAAATGAAATAATAACAATTAAAAATTATAAAATAGTTTTCCTCAGGGATAAAAATAACGTTGGACAAAAAAAAGGACACCGGAAGAAATCCCCGTTTTAAATCATTGTTAAAAAGAACTTCCCATTTTTAAAGGGCTTCAATGTGTTTGGCATGGCCCTCTGATAGGGTACGATGCAATTAGGTAATTGAAATTTCAGGGCTGGGGCCGTTTAGTCAACATACAATCAGCATTTATTTTATATTTTAGTTTTAGGGGATAACCTCATGGTTTGCAAGGATCTGGAGGGCTGGTGTTTAGGTCTTTTAATATTTTATTAAAAAGTTTTTTCAGTAAAAGAATTATGAGGCCATAATTTGACTTATAAATAAAATAGAGTTCGCATTTTATTCTTAGGACTACCTCAAACTGAACGAAACTTGCAAAATTTGGGAAATAGTTTTCTTACGTCAACAAAAACCGGTGCTAATCTTTTTGAATACAAAAAAAAATGCAAAAACTTATAACATATCTAATTTCGCTAATCAACTTGAATTTGTTATTTAGCAGAATTTGTGTAAAATTTTATGATAAATTTTTAATATAATATTTTCCATTTCCTCTGCTTAATTTTATATGTATAAATTTAGACTAATTTAATATCAAAATTCAATTCTCTCACAAGAATATATATTATATAATAATCCTAAGAATTAAGTTTTGTCATTTTTTTATTCAATTTTCAAACTCTATAAATAGATTATCAGGGTAAATTTTAAATTCAGCCTTAATATAATTTTAAATTCAGCCTTAATATATTAAAAAATTTTCTTTTAAAAACTGAATAATATCAAAAATCGTTACAATTTTAATAGAAAATATAACTCTGAACATCATTTTTTTTATAGTCTTAAATATTATCAAAAAAAAACATATTATTTTCGTCGTCTTATTTTACCCAAATAAATTTTTTTAAAAAAATCCCTCTTTATCTAAAGTATTTTAAAATTGGGGGCATTTTTATCTGAAGTAATACTTGTCCAGTATAATTTTTGTACGATTTACTTAAATGATATATTTTCTTATTATAAATAATATTCCTATCCTATAAGTTTTAATACTTGAGTAAAATCACGGACAGTCATAATATCTAAAATAGCTTCTTCGTATATATCGCGAGCTTTCTCAAAATGGCCAGCCCTTATATAATAATCTGCTAATGAATTCCACAATTTGCCCTTTTCATTCGAAAATCTTTTGATACCACTCCTGATAATGGGATCTATTTTTATAGATTTTATCTGGGAAGGATGTTTGCAAACTAAATCGCACAAATCATACCAGAGCTAAAAAAATATATAAAGAGGAATATTTAAATGTGTTACAAAAAATGTAATTTATATGTAATATTGTTCAAAATGTTATAATGCGATTAGCATATTAAGAGAGTTTGGAACAGGAACCCTCATTAGGTCAAATCTTAAAACCGGAACTAGAACCCATCTATAGTATATTTAAGAACCGATCCACTTTAAAAAAATATTAGTAGACGTCATTTCCACTATCAAATCACCCAATGATTCGGACGATCCTTTTTAAAACGAATATAGGTTATAATTTTAAAAGTTTTATCTCAAATATATCCAGAATTTATGGAATTCTTATGTGGGCGTTTTCTTCTTTCTAACTAATCTGATATTAACTTGAAAATATTTTGTTTAAAGACACAAATTCATATCCGGTAAAACAAAAAATAATAATATGATGGAACTCCAAAATATTTAAATATATCTACGTATTAGAATTGCGGAAATAAGAATAAATTTAATTTAGCTTTTAAAAAACAATAGAAAATTTTAACGTAGAGGGCGCTATTGTTAAAAATAACTATAATGCATTTTTTTTATAATAAAAATAGGCCTTTTATATTATAATGAATGATTATATATATTAAAACATCCTATATTACGTAAAAATAACCCTTTTTTCATTATCATAATTCAATATAAAAACCGATTAAAATATATGTCCGATTATTTTATTCGAAAAATTATAAGAACCTAAAATTAAAATTCTTATTTTCTAGAATTCTATTTTTTTTAACTTAAATAATACATATAAGGTGAGTTTTATCTTTAATTTAAAATATTTTTTCTTTGTTTTATCCAGGGATCCAAACCTAAACTAATATCGGTTCGGTTTAGGTTCAGGTTCGGATAAAAATAACGGTTCAAGGTTCAGGTTCGATTGGCAAAAAATAAAAATATCGGTTGGGTTCGAACCTCTAAAAACCGGTTTGAACACTTTTGTATTCAAACTTACATTAGGATTATGTATAAGGAAAATTTTTTTTTATTTCATAATTAAAATAAAAACCTTCATTTTTATTATTTGCACATTATAAAATAATATTTAATTTATAAATGTAACAAATAAATATATCAATGATAAATTTTAATATGAACAATTACTTAAATTTTTTTTATTAAGCCGCACATTTAATATATTTTCAAAATTCATCTCACTCAAATTACATCTATAAGGAGATAATATAAATTTAATTGTTGAAAAACATTTTTCCACACTATTGGGTAGCTGGCATTGCAAGTATGATATCAGATTTGATGTGTTATTTATAATACGATATGTAAATAATTTATATATTAGATTTAATTTTTTTCTAGACATTATAATTTATAAGCTTAAAATATTAAAAAATGTTGTAAAATGGCAATATACTAAAGTTTATAAAAATTAATAATTTTTCAAACAATTTGAATAATTTTTGCAATATACTACTAGTAATAACTTACACATTATTTTATAAACATACAATTATGAGACTCGAACCGGTTCAGATGCATTTTAGTGGTTCGGTTCAGGTTTGGCTAGAAATGTTTTTAGAGGTTTAGGATCAGTTTAGGTTTGATAAAAAATACCGGTTTTTAGTGGTTTAACTGTTCGGTTCAGGTTCGGTTTGGATCCCTGGTTTTATCGGAAATGTGTCAAAGCAATAAAAAAAATATTTTGAATTTTTGGCTACAAGATGATATATAATTTATGAATTTCAATTAAACATTTTTCAAGTTGATTTGAGATTAGTTAAAGATAAAAACGTCCACTGGATTAAAAGGCCCATAACTCTGGGTATATTTGAACTAGAACTTTAAAATAATGATTTTGTATAAAATTTACACATTATAAAACTCATACCGAGTTTCATATTAAGGGTAGTACAAAGTTTTTTAGTTAATTTGTCATGGAATGATTCTAATGGAATCCCTTTTTAAAAAATATTCAAAACTGGAACCATTTTTTCAGTCTAGGTTCCAAGTTTGGTTTTTTGGATATCAATAAATTTGGCATTGATAAGTTCAAAATTGAAATGTTCCATTGTGGAAAGTCAAAATTAAGAGAAAAACTTTAAATTTAAATAGGAAAGACATTTAAAATAATTAGATTTTTTTTATATTCAAAATGCTCCATTTCAATTTTTTAGAAGTAAGCAAAATAATAATTAAATAAGGCTCATAGCCAGGAAGTATCAATTGAGAGTTGGGACAACAGTTTATTTGGTGGGGAATAGTTTTTAATAGAAAATTATTGTATTATTCTAATTTATTTCATATATTTTTATAAAATTTAAAAAATGACACCTATATAAAATTTAAAAAATTAGAAATAAAACTTGATTATAAAATGATGTGTTGCTTTGTAAATTATATTGTCATATAAAAATAACACAAAATTGAGTGCTCTAGCATGAAACAAAAATCAATATTTTTTTTATCTTTATTGGTAATTAATAACTTAAAATCAACTCCTAACTTAAATATGCTGAGTAAATCCCTTCTATTCTTTATTGGAAATTTAGGAAGAAATAAATAAACTTGATAATTGCTTTTTCCTTCTTTTGATACAAAACTATCTTCATTAACAATTTTGATCAAAACACAAGCTGCTTCATCTATTGCATTAATTCCTTTTAGATAATCAATATAATCTTCAGAATCATTTGGATAAAACTATGTTAAATAATTGTCAAAAAATTAAAATTTTTATAATTAACTTTTAAATAACGTCTATAAGCCCTTTTCCCAGTTTCAGGAATATCATGAAGTTCTACAAATTCAATATATACAGGCCATATACGATGATGCTGTGTTATTGGTAATGATTGTAAGCTTCTATCTAATGTTCTACGTGTATAAGTTATTAATCCTTGATCTTTAAGAAAAATGCAGAACTCTGTCCATATTCTTGGCATCTAATTAATAGATAAGTTATAAATAATTAAAACTTATTGTACCTTATTCATAAACATTAATGCTCTTTCATGAATATTGTTAACTTTTTTATAGAATGGATGTGAAATTTTGTGTTTTAATGCTTGGGTCCTTAATGATTTCAAATAGCTATTCCATAATTTATAACTATAATAATTTTCTTATATAATTTTAAATTGTAATTTAACCTTCCAGGAATTTCTTTTAAGGCTCTCTCATATAATAAATTAGTAGATATAAATTCATCATTTTGATGTTGAATATATCTTAACCATGATTTGACATGGCATGGATTTCGGATTATATCTTCTTCATAAGGAATATTATTATTATCCTATTAATTATTAGTTTAGTTGATGAGTTAAAAATTAAAGCTTACTAAAAATATATCAAGATTCACAGAGTTTTCCATATGATTTATAAATAAATCTGTTTAAAGAATTTAAAGTGACAAAATCTTTTTCATTGACACCGTCTATGTCAAATAGTGTTTCGAAAATTTAAGTTTTTTAGGTTAAAAATATATATTACTGGAATAAATATTTCAAATTTTGAAATTATATATATTATAGGATATAAATTATAAATTTATGGACGATAAATGTATTTTTCTTTATCATAATTACATATCAGCGTTCTATAAAAGGTGTCCATTTATTTAATATCTATATCAGAGTTGTACAAAAGATCTTCTTTGAATTTTAAGATCGTTGCTCAAATTTTTTCATAAATAAAAGATCTTCAAATTTTACGATTTATTTTGAGCAAATGTACAACTCTGATCTATATACTGTCTGACTCCTATAAGTCCATTCTAATTCTAAGACTAAATCCAGTCATTTTTCAATCTGCTCTTGATTTTTTTCCCTTTCCCACAATTGCTTTAATTTTTTTAATATTGTCTGGGTCCTTTTCTTCAGATGTAAATGAAAGTGCTCTATTTTGCCAAACATTACGATAGAAGGGGCATTATTAGATTAGGTTTTCCCTATAAATTTTATTGGAGATCTATAAGAACATATATTGATGGCCTAAGGCTATAATACATTTTTAAAATAATAGTTTTTAATTTTTTAAATATATTAATGCCTTTATTCTTAAAATTTTAAATCATAGTCAATATTTAAAAAAGTTAATAACTTGGACTTGTTTTTCTTTTAAATGATTGCTTATCGTACAAGGGGGGAGGGTATATGGAAAATTTTTATTAGCTCTAAATGATATTTACGAGAACAGGTAAATTTCTGTAGGTTTTCAAATTTTTTATTTTAATTGAACTTATAATATCTAATAATTTTTCCATAAACATCTTTTTTAATGGAATTTTTTGTTATTTTTATTTAAAAAATTTATTCATAAATCATAATTGATTTTTAAAAAAAATATTTAATTTTTAAATTTCAAAGATAGTTTGCTCAAATTTTTAGTCTACAATATCTTTTGAAGTCTTTTTCAAACTCTAGTTCTGTCTTATAAATAAACCCCAAGTGTCCCTTCATACCCCAAAATAAACCCAAATATTTATATGTCTCTGCCCATGGACTGACTGGCCAATTAGCCTAATGAGAAAAAGTTTCATGGTGCCTTAAAATTAAAAAAAAATGGGGCCTTCGGAATTATTTTTTGAAGACTTGAGAAATTTATTTGTTCTATTAAAATCTGGAAATTATTATCTAAAGCTAAATTAATTTAACATTCAATATTTTAACTAAAAAAACCCACTATTTATTTAAATTAGAAACTTAAATTACTATTTTTTTTCGTTACAAATTGTTAAAGCAAGGCATTCGTCTTTTTAAAAATTTTCAATTCTTTTATTTCATAGTATAATTATTCTTTCCTTTTTTAACTAATAAAGATATGAAAAGACAAATATGCCTGGTAATAAGTTTAAAAAAATACTTAGATGGTATTAATAACTAAATAGTTGATCATGGGTATTTGAGAAGGTTGTTTTATAGATATTTAATAACAAAGATGAGCTAATACTATATATTAGAATTTCGACCCTTTAAATAAAGTTCTATTTTTGTTTCCGTTCCAAATATTAAACAAAAATAGTTCTACTTCCGGTCCTCATATAATTTTAAAAAAGATTCTGGTTTCACTTCTTTAATTTGATGCAGTTTCAAGGGTTTCAGGTTCTCCAATTCTAAAATCTATTAAATATATCACACAAAAATTGGAACAATATATTAGGTAACAGGGATCCAAACCAAACGAATATCGGTTCGGATAAAAATATCAAATCAAGGTTCAGGTTCGTTTGGTAAAATTAAAAATATCGGTTTGGTTTGAACTTCTATAAACCGGATTGAACATTTTTATATTCAAACTTACATTCGATTTATGTATAGAGAAAAATATATTTTTTTATTTCATCATTAAACACATATATAAAACCTTCATTTTTAATTGCACATTATAAAATAATATTTAATTTATAAATATCAGAGACCTGCAGGCCTGGCCAGGCCCGGTAAGGGTACCAGGGCCGGGCCGTATTTTAAATTTTTAAAATATACCCGGACCGCACCGGGTTTTTTAAAAAAACTTATAAAACATGGATTAATATATTCGTCAATTAGATATGGTTATAATAATGATTATATATAGTTAGGATTAATATAATGTTTGGTGAAAGTTAACACTAGCTAACACTCATAGTATCTATTACATAATAAAATTATAGTTTTCCTGCCATGGAATAAATACGCAAAGGATTAAATACATTATTATATAATATATAATATATGTTATATTTTTTATTAAAAATATCATTTTTATTTTTTTTATAAATACATAGTATATTCTCTTTACTTACACAAATTTTTTATAGTATCAATTTGTAATATACTAAATATCTGTTTAGAATAAAAAAAAAATAAATATTTAGTGTTATTAAACGGCTCGTTTTGAGCCGATTTTTAAAAACGGCTAACTCAGTGTTTTATCCAGAAAAATATTATGCAAGCCTGAAAATCTTGCTCATAGAAGGAGCAAAGGTCTAGACATATATAGTAAATATTTTTCTGGCGAAAATATTGAGTTAGCCGTTTTTAAAAATCGGCTCAAAACGAACCGTTTAACAATATTAACTAATATACTTGCTTATTAAATGATAATACTCGCCGAAAAATATGATAAAATACGAAATAATGAATTTCCAGGTCGAATACAATTTTTAAAAATTTCGAGCCGGGCCTAAAAATATTTTTTTAAATATTCGGGCCGGGCCGGGACTAAAATTTTTAAACCCGGGCCGGGCCGTACAAATGGTACCTCTGCAGATCTCTGATGAATATAACAATAAATATCAATAATTAATTTTAATATGAACAACATCTAGCTTTATTTATTTAAAAATTTTTTATTAAGCCGCACAATTACAATATTTTCAGGATTTATCTCAATCAAATTACATCTATATAGGAGATAGTTTAAATTTATTTGTTGAAAAACATCTTTCCACACTAACTTAGGTAGCCGGCACGTATGACATCAGATATGATGTGTCATTTATAATACTAAATGTAACTTATATATTGGATTTAATTTTTTTTAGGCATTATAATTTATAAGCTTAAAATATTTAAAAAATGTTGTAAAATGGCAATATACTTATGTTTATAAAAATTATGACTGACACTTATCAATCAAATGATTGATAATTAACTTTAAAATAATCGAATATAATTAAAATGTTTGCAATAAGTAATAACTTACACATCATTTTATAAGCATGAAATCATGAGGCTCGAACCGGTTCAGAGGCATTTTAATTGTTCGGTTCTAGTTCGGCTAGAATTTTTTTTAGCGGTTTAGGTTCAATAAAAAATAATTGATTTTAGTAGTTAATGGTTCGCTTCAGGTTCGGTTTGGATCCCTGGTTAGCGGCGATGTGTTTTTTCAGGGTGTTTTAAACTCTAAATTATTTTTTAAGCGCTTTTTTAAATTTTAAAAGTCTGATTTTACCAGAAATGTATTTCGCCTGTTTGGAATATCTAATGTTTTCATAAATTTTACATACAAACTATAAATGAGTCAAAGGTTAACGGCAAAATAGTCTACATTCATAAGATAAGTATTCTAAACATGCTGGAATACATTTCCAGTAAAATCAAAATTTCATCATATGCGCTAAATAAATGAGTTAAAGTTGAAAAAATAATAATTGCAGCTAACACATATATATATAAGTAGCCTTTTGTTAGAAATTAGTAGCGACCTGGAAATTTTGACATGGATTGAGATTTCTGGTTCTAAAAATTTATATTACAGTTTTTCAATTGTTTTTAAAATGCTAAATATTTTTAAGAGGAAAAATTCATACTATTTATTATAGCATTCCAATTCCTGAGGAGTTTCTATTGAAATACCGTTAAATATGGAACGATTATATATGGCAAGAAAATTAGTTATTGAATTGGGTTTTTCTATAACAAATAGTATGTTTTTTTAAAATTTTATTATAAATTTTTATATTTAAAATTTTATACTTTAAATCGGGATAATTAGAGTTAAAATAAATATTTACAAAGTTAGCTTGTAAAATGTTTATTAATACCAAATTTATAAGATTAAGACAGTAAAGTATTAATCTATTTATAAATTTAATCATACATGTTTATTTTTATTTAAATTTTTACCAATTTAATTCTATGACAATTTATTAAAGAATTCAGTCCAATAGAATCGAAGTTTCACTACTCGAAATAAAAAACTATCATTTAAATCGGTTAAGAATTTTTTATTTATTAAATTACAATTTTGTTTTATTTATGACTAAAATCCTTATTAAAAATATATATGATGACTATAGAATCTGAAACCTTCTTAAATAAAATATTCAAATTTATAACATTACTAAAGCCTCAACATTCTTTGAAAAATTTTGAAATTATTAGGCTACCATCAGCATATCTACAAACAAGAAGTTTTGATATCCCAACAGTCTGGAAAACTATTGAAGACACAAAATCTTCTCTGGCTATAGACTTTTCTTCAATACGTATGAAGGCCACAAATATGGCAAATTATCAAAAATAAAGAATATCTTCTTTAGTGAAAGTAAAGTAATAAACTACAAAAGAAAATATTTACTTGCTTCATTTTTAGCAATTTAAATGATGGCATGCAGAAAAATAGGGAAAACTTAATTATTCATGTTGAGATGACATTAGAAGCAGAGAGTGAAGATAGAAAGAAGATTACGACACAGAATCGCATCCAAATGCAAACAATGTAGGAAATGTTTAATATGTGTTTACATCTTCATATACCAATTTTAGTGAATAATTTAACTTATCACATTATTTTTTACACAAGTGAGTTGCCAAAGAACTTTTAGTAAATTAAAAATAATAGAAAATAGACTACCAGTTCATTTATTATGATGACTTTTTAATAATAAAGCTGGACATGAATTAGTATAGCAAATGGAATTAAATAAAATTCTTAATTATTTATGTAAATTTTTATTATTAATGCGGTTATGTAGGTAAGACAATCAAGAATGTAGATTCAATTAATATTTTTTTTATATTATATTTAAAATTATATATATATATAAAATAGGTGCTAAATTTGGTGATATTTCCTGCCCCCCCCCTCAAAATGTTAATTTTATAGGGAATTTCTTTTCCCAGTGGACCCCTGTCTCTACCTCTCTCACGTTAAGTCTACTACTCTCAAACCCTTTTTTGTATTGTTCAGTAATAAAGGGACAAATAAGGAAAAAATTTGAAATTAGTGCGAAATAATATAATATTCATATACAAGAGGTATCGCTGTTTTTTTAAGAAAAAAAAAATTATGAATGTTTTTATTGAATTATTTTTAAATTTTTTTTATATTCAAATTGAAATTAATGATAAATTAGACAATATATTGTGACATTATATATCATTAATAATAAATTTTTAATTAATTTTTAACATGAAAATAATCGCTCTGAATTTGCAGCGTTAAAGGCACGAGCACAATATGGAAATCTTTTTTCACAAATCGTATTAATATATAATTTTTCTTTTTATATTTCTTTCCTAAATTTTACTTTTAATAAAACGTCTATGGAGTTCAATAAAATTTTTTTATATTTCCTTCCCCATTAATTTTTCTTATAAATATAAACCAAGCGATGCCAACACTGGGTATTTGTCAAAACAAGCAAATACTAGGCAAAATTTATAATCTATAGCGATGTAATTCATTTCATCGCATCGCGCAGTCATTATAAATTTTACCTATTATTTGCTCGCTTTTGGGGAATATCTAGCGATGTGTGTCACATGGCTTGAACGATACGCGATCATTATAAACGAGATATAAATCCTCAACATTATCTAAATCGCAATTTTGTAATAACTTCCTATTTTATAATATTGATATCAGGTTTCGTCCAAACTCAAATGAATAATAGGTTTCTAACGCATTTTAATATTATTTGTTTACTGGGAAAAAGCTAAAATATGTAAACCTTATTATTTTTTTTAGTTTGGACATGCTCTTGATTTTTTTTAAACTTTAATATCGATAAATATTTTTTTAACATTTTTATATGAAAAAAATTTCTGAGCTCTTCTAAGTTAATTTTTACTCCGCATTTATCAAAGCATCTTATAAATGAAGCTAAATGCGCTTCTACTTCTTTCTTTATCAAAGGGATTCGAGATCCCTTCTGCTGTAAGCCTATTTCAACCTCAAATCCTCCTAATATCCCAACTTTGTTCATATCTATTGTTTCATTATTATCTTATATATCCTTTTTCATGTTTTATATACTCTATGATACTTATTTTCGCCCCCTTGACCACCATATAATCTTCATTGACATCCGGTCATATAGAATAGAAGTCTAACACCTGCGTTATAAAAATCTTTGACTTCTTATTATGTATATCTCAGATTTCTGTAGAGTTAGAGAATGTAGGACAAAAACTCAACAGGAAAATTTACCGCCCTTTATTTGATAAGCTTACTTTTGATATGGTCTACACAAAATAAAATTTAGAAAGAATAACTATAAATATGCCGTTTCGTCACGTTTATACTATAAATTTACCTTTAGGCGGAAAAAATAGACGCTTCTTCATCATTTTCATTGATATTTAACATATAAATTTTAAAACAATGCATATTATAAAAAAACACTTAAAATACTTAAGTTAATAACTCATGAAATTTTTCATGTGATATTTATTGGTATGTACCAATATTATTTAATTTGTTTTCTTAAATTATTGATTTTTCAAAATTCTATAAGTATTCGTTGATAAATGAAAGAGGTCAATCTACGTTTTTTTAAGACACTCAACTTTACTTTTAATATTTTAAGTATTGTTCTTTTAAGTACCAGAAATACATAAAGTATAGACAATGAAGTAAAAAAATATGTGCATTTTATTGATATGAGCAACTTTATAATTATATATTACAAAATGATTTTTTTATCGTGAAAATAAATTAATTAATGCATAGTGTAATATATTTTTTAATGCTATAAAAGTGCTAAAATTTCCTAAAAGATTGATAATAATTATTTTTTAAATATATTGAGGCAATGAACTAAGGGGCTAATTTTGTCGGCTTTTCATATGCTTTAATACGAAAAACATTTGTTTCTAAGGGCTTGCAATCACCACATTCATAGTTATTTGATTTGGGAGAGACTTTGGCCACAATTTGATTAGAATTATTCGACACTATAATATATATTTTAAATTTAATTATTTTAAAGAAAAAAAATTAGTTTACCGAATATTTTTGTGGAAGAATTTATAGCAGGCCCTCGTGTTTTTTTCAATTGAAAATTACCTGATTGGATGGTGGCAACGATTTGCGAATGAATCGAATCGGTCATGTTAATGTTTGAATAATTCAAAGATAACTACAATATGAACATGCATAAACAAAATGCCCAATGTTACAAAACATGGTAAACTAAGCTAAATAGCTTGTAAAAAATATTTAAAATTTTGCAATCTCCCTATTATAATAAAATATATTTTTTATTCATAGTGTTTACCATTCTCAATATCAGACTTTCATTAATATATTTGGAGATAGTTTTATTTAAAAGATTTAGAATGATGAGTCACGAATAAAAATCGTTTTCGTATGATAATATTATAATCGGTTAAATTGTATTTCAGAGAAGTTATTTCTACGTTATGCATTGCTTCAAATATTACCCCGAAAATATTACTTCCTATTTGTAAAGCGGGGCTTATTTCGTTAATCAATTTTCGTTATAAATTTGCTTAAAAAAATATAAATCCCCTGTATGGTATGGATTGGGGCTGACAAAAATTAAATAAAAATAAACTATGGGTCGGGTCATTGGCTTGGGCCAGGCCTATGCAAAATTTTAAATGATTATATGAATTCCAAATTATTGCATTTCTTTACTAATCAATCATTCTTATTATATAAGAAAAAAGTATATATACATAGCCCAAATTTTTTATCTTCCTATGGGCCTCATGGACCTTTAGGTTGACCACAAAGTGGAGGTTGTGTTAGGCATCTGGCATGTATTTAAAAAATATCAATATAAGGTTCAGTGGCATCAGGTCATTTAATATTAATTTTTTTCTGCCAGTCAGATCTTTTATAGTCGGTTTTGTAGACTAAATATAATAACCCTTAAGTTTTGTAACAGTTTGATGATCCTAGTCTTCTCATTACCGCCCCTAACTTGTATCAGGTTTTTTAGCCTTTAATTTGTTTAGACAAAAATTAAACTGATAATTTAGAATTGAAAGCGGCTCTTAGTTTATTAAGGGAAACTCCATTTCATATCAAATCCAAAATTTTATTCTTTATAACATTTAAGCGAAATTTGCAGTAATGCCTTTGCAACATTGAATCCATCTCGAAATTGAATTTGAGGTAATACAATTGTGCGCTCATGATAATTAATTCGTGATAATGCCTTACATGATTGAGAGAATGATTACGAAAATTATTGAATTGAAAAATAGATCGAGGAAATTGAATAAAGCCTGATAAAAGACAAGGTAAGGAAGTTCGAGTCTATATGGTAAGCGGGGTAAAACGTAAGTGCTATTTAGAGGATATTGGGAAAAAAAATTCAGTCCTAATTTTCAAAAAGATAATATCTTCGATATTTCTTGCAGCAACAAATGTGTTCTTCTAAGTTAAAATGTATATTATTGATCCTCAATCAAGCCTAGAGATTGCTTTGTGAAAAAACAACACCTAATTATGTGAATAGAAAATTAATTTAATAATACTTACACTGTGATAGGTTAAATATCTCAGTTTCATTTAATTATTTTATAGTATAGTCTAATAATGATTCAATCCAATAATATAATTAGGCCCATAATTTGAAATTTAAATATATACCATAAGAAAAAAACACCTACCATATAACTTCGGTCTCTTCTACTTGGAAGAAAATAAGACTTATAATGTCCAATAGGAGGTGTCAATTGAATAGTTCAAGAGTTAATTTGAATAAAGCCCATAGATAATAGAGTAGATTGTCAAGACTGGTAAGATACGAACCGTATTAAAAAAATAGTTAGTTAACAGAACCAAGTTTTATTATTAAGGGAAAAGACCAAAATCCTTTAATTTAAATAATTTTTTTTAAAAAACAAATAATAAGGCTTCCTTGGAGAAATTCAAAATTAGTAATCATAATTTACTTTATTTAAACGAATTTATTTTGTACAAAAAATTATTTTTTATAACCCATCTATATTTGGAAGAATAAAATTTTAAAGTTTTTAAACAGCATTTTGAAAGTTTAATTGTAATTTTTATTTTAGGAAATAATAAATTTGAAAATCAAAATAATATTTATTAATATAGGTCATTTAAAAAAATGGAAATTTATTATTCGAGAAGTACGATTTTAAAATACTAACAAAAACAATTATTATCCAAATTTTAAAAATTTTTGATTTAAAAAAAAATAAAATATTTATATATGGTATTTTATTTAGTAATAATCGATGTATTAATTGACTTAAATGATATTTACGAAATTAACAAATTTATCAAAGCGGCGGTAACTTCCCCGTCCCTTGGCTACACATATGGTATTGGCATATTAACAAGTATTAAATTTTTGGTGGTAGTCAAGTCGTTGGTCAGAATTTTTGATATTAGTCTTTCGAAAAGTTTGAATTTGCGAATGTGAACCGGATATACGTTTGATTTAACATATGAGAAAGTGAACATCATATGACAAAATCAATTTATAATTATTATAGAGATTAACTCGAGTATAAACATGTAAAGTTAACCATTACTTATAATTCGAATTTAATGGACAATAATTTAGCTAAATATATATGAAGATAATATAATATACTTTTTAAGATCGAATAAATTGAAAAATTCCTGTGTGACACTGTATAAGATTATCTGGATAAAATAATTATATATTTGGCTATTTATTTATATATATTTTTTTTAAATGAAAATAAATAAATATTTTAAAATGGATCGATAATTCGGCTTATTTACTTGAACAATCTAATTTTCGGATCTTTTGAATAATTTATTGAATATGGACTTTTTAAAGTTTAATCTCTATATTGTATAGCATGCTACATTTATTTTTTAAAAGTAGTTTTATAGTAAGGAACTACTTTTTTCTGAAATGTAGCTTTACAATACTTTCAATACCATTGAATAATATTTTTTTTAAAAAAACTAAACTTTAAATAGATATTTTGAATTTTTTTTTGTATTATAAATCTAAACCAATCAACCAATTTGATCGCATAAGTAAAAATATGGAAAATGGATAAAAGGAATAAATGATGATAAGGATATTATACTATTTAAATGGCTTAAATGTAAAAAGTGGTGTCTAAAGTTGATATATTATTTTTTAAATGTTTTAATTCCGAATTAGATTTAATGTAATCTTTTTTATAAAGTAACGTATATAGCAAAAGCTATTTTTTTTGAAAAGTTACTTTACAGGAGTGCGCTACTTTTAAAAATAACGTAAACAAAACTAAGTTTTATATAGAGACAATTTTCAGTTTCATTATCTAAAATGAGTATATAATTCTTGTTTTAGTTGAACTGTAGAAAATAAATTTGAATAAACTATAAATAGCCCGCTAAGATCAAAGATCAAATGCCAAATTTAACAAATATTTATCCGGTTCAAAGAGAATTATATACTTAGTGATTTATATACTAAACTAATCCGCTTATACTAAAATAATATATGCACAAGGTTATTCAATCTTTAATATATACATTCATAAGATTGTTAATCATATGGAATCGATTTCGGAAATTATAATATAATTATTAATGATATGGGTATTAAATAGTTAATCTCCCAATATATAATAATCATTATTATTCATAATCTAGAAATAGTATAATATTACAATATTTTCCTACATTACTGCATCCCTTTATTAATTGCGAAAAACTCCAATATCTCTTCAATTATTTGTTTATATATCACCCCTCGTCTTGGCGTCTCATCCCACTCCCTTTCATTGCCGCAATCACCCGTTCTGTAGTATCTTCTGCCACACAGTCTTTTAACTGGTCCGCATGTTTTCGCAGTATGAGATCTGGTATCTCTATTACATATGAATATAACCCATTCCTATCTTGGACTATTCCTTCTCTCCAGTCCTTGGTTTCGCTCCTTATCCATACATGTTGACCAACGTCAAATTCCACTATATTTATCATTAAATTTATTTATCTCATTTTCCACCTTTGAACTAGTCCAGTCTAGACTAGTTCTTATAATACGCTGCTAACTTTTGAGTCATTGCTTTTTGCCGGTCATTAATTGATTGTCGACTGGCATAATACCTTCCTTTCAAGGTCGAAATGGCACGTTCCGTCTGTCCATTTGTCTTCGAGGTATGGCGTTGAACAAATGTAGCAAATGGTGTTTTTATCAGAATATAATTTAAATTCTGTAAAAATAAATTGAGGTCCATTGGCAATCACAATACTTTTAGGTACCCCAAAGGTAGAAAACCGCTTTTTTAATTTCATTATCATCTCCTTCGCCAATGTTCTCTTCATAAGATATGCATCTGCCCATTAACCTATAGAGAGTCAAATGGTCCTGCAAAATCTAGATGTACTCCCATGACTATTTAGTAATATTCCATGAGCATAAGGGTAACTTTATTACGTTTAGTCTTTTGACATCCTACACACAGCTTTATATACCGTTCGATATCTTCTTCAGACTTAGACGACCAACAATACAACCGAAAAATAAACTTCATCGCGCTTATTCCCGGATGTCCCCGATGTATTGTCTGCAACACTGCATTTTTAAGTTTAGTTGGAATTATCAATCTACCATCGTTCAACCATTCCTCTGTCTACTGTTAGTTCTTCTCGTTGGGTATAGAAACTTAATAGTCCTGTTCTTCCTTCCTATCAAAACCTTTCCAATCTTGTTCAATATGTCATGCCACTCCTTTTAGTATCAGATCTTTTGCATCAAATTTCTGCGCGGGTTACCGTTCGTAACCTGCATATCTTCTAAATTGATATTATGAATCTCTAATGTGCGTTTTGTATTTAGATTCGGTATAATATCGTGCAACGGTAGCATAGATAATGCGTCGGTATATGATTCTAACCACTCTGTCTGTATAAATCGTACACGGCCATCTTCTAGGCCTAACGAGTCAGACAATTGTTTGATATCTCGGGAAGATCCCTCTTTTCCTCCAACAACCTTTCCAAACGCTTATGGCATATCCGAAGTACAAATCTTCGACCATAAATAAAATATGAAATTTTTCTATTCCGAACAGCAGTGCCCTCGTTTCCTAATCAATTGGAGAATACTATTTTTCAGACCAACAACGAACGAGAGGAATATGATGGGGTTTTCTTGGTTCTGTAAAACTTGATGAGTAAGACTACTTCAAGTCATGTATCTGAAGCATATCACTCTAAAATTAACTCCAATTGAGCATTGTAAGGCGTTAGCGTTTCTTCAGATGATAACAGTGTCTTAATTTTGTCGATAACCTCCTCTTCCACTCTTGTGGTACACCATGGTACTTTACGCCAGTCAATCAGTGCACTGCTACCTCACTAGATTTTTATTCTAAAACTTCTTTTAAAAACTAGAAGATTGGGAATGAGCCTTTCATGATGCCTGACAAGACCAATGAACATAACTAAAACATTCTGGATTAGGTATGACCTGGATTGCTTTTACATTTTCCTCGCTTATTCTATTCTGGTCGATAACGACAGCTAAAAATGAAACATTCTGCTTAAATTAAACTTTTCAAATTTGGCTTTGAGACCTGTTTCCTGCATCATATCGAGTTCTATTTTAATTTAGCCAGATGTTAGGCATTATTTTAGCCAGAGATAATTACATTGTCTAGATACACTCCTGTCATCGGGTAGTCTTTCAAAAAATTGTCCATGAAACGCTGGAAGAAAATAGTGGCGGGCGAAAGTCCAAAAGGCATCCGAATCTAAAATATCCCGTATTTATTGAGATGACCAAATATTTTTGGGACTCTCTCTTTACGGCCATCTGTTGATATGCATTCTTTAAATCTATCACTCTAAATCGGTTTCCCTGTATCTTGAATAACGTGATGATCATATAATAGATGGGGATTTAAACTAACCTTGAAATCTGCGCAAATACGAATCTCGCCATTGTTCGTCCTGACATTTACCACTGGGGTCTCCCACGCACCTTAGTTGTAGACGAATCGATTTTCCTCCAAAATCCCCGCAGAAGCAAGGCGATCTAGTTCCAGTTCAACCAATCTGAGTAACGGAAAAGGCAATCGACGAGCTGGAAACGATTTTGGAACAGCCTTATTTTCAACTGGAGTCGCACGCGAAATTATGTATCAACCCCGGCTTAGCGTCAAAAACGGCTTTGAACTATTTAATTAACAATGTATTTCCTCCGTTAGTGACATCTCGCAGCTCGCGGGGGCACCGATTGTATTTAAACGGTCATCGGGGAATCGTTGAACTAAGAGCGACTTGATACCATTGGTCTTGAATGACCCATGGGAGCCCGATTCGATTTGATAACCTGATGTGTGCTTACCTGCCTCGGTAACTTAAACCCAAATGCTAAAATAATCCAAACAGAAGTAAATTATTCGATTTATTATATTAACTGATATGCGAATTTCCTTCCCCACCTGTGCACGGACCATGGCTTCATCCATTAAATTCAAGGGTATATCTCCATAGGCTGATAATGGGTTTGTGGGAAAAGTTGGCGGTTTGCATTTTCTCCCAAATTTTTGATTCTATAATAGAGGCTTGTGCTCCTGTATCATAGTCATATGCAACACTAGATACATTTATTTTGTTTGTAATCTTTACCCTTTTGCTTAATCCACCTGTCCAAAGATTATTTATTGAATCACTTGGGGGAAAGTGTTTTTTCACTGAGTTTAAATTCTGATATACGGGCTTACTAAGGCAGCACGTTGCGGTTCATTTCTTTGGCACTTAAAATACATTTTATATTTAGCTGGTCATAAATATTTTTCATTCCAGCCAGTGTAAGATTATGAAATTAATATAAATTGTAGCTTTAATACAGTATTGATTTTTAAGAGATGCTTTTATCGCTTCAAAAATATTGGCAGCCATTGAAATTACTTTTTTTACCTGCATAATTTTTAAGCAGTAAAGGATATTCTCCTGTTACTAGGTATTCTTTTATTGTTTGATATTCATTAAAAATTTTGTGAAGTGCTCTATAATTGTTGATTCAAAGTTTTATAAATGATATTATGAATAATTAAAATTTGTGAAGTGCTCTAAGTTTTATAAATGATATTATGAATTCAAATAAATTAAATGTACCTTATGGATTGAATGAGAAATCTATAAAACTTTGTGTTTATTAATCTATAATTGTCGATACAAAGATGTGTAAACTATATTTTAGATTTTATTCGTAAAGTTTATGGTCTGTCATATATTATCAATACGGTATTTATTTTACAATATTGTAGAATCAATACCGTATTGATTTTAGATTATATTGATTTTACAATACTACACAGGCACAATCCTTACATTTATTAACGTAAAACTTACTATTAGGCTTCCAATAATTATTATCTCTCTTAACACACTCTTGTGAATTAGGCATTTTATGTCTGTCATGCTGCGGCCTGATTACACTATTCACAGGGTTTTTCTTAATTGACATTTTGTTCTGAGTTCTTTCTGTTTCCGTGGCCATATCTAGCACAAACTGGAACGTCAGCGGTTTTTTGTTAACGTCCAATGCTAACGGATATTTAGCCCTAAGATCAATTTTGAGGTCTGGCAGGTCTATACCCATTGATCTCTTAAACTGCCGTTAACTTCTGTTGGCGTAAAACAACACGCTTTCGCAGTTTTGATCCTATTGGCGAACTCTCCAATTTTTTCATTGTTATTTCTAATTATCCTTATAAATTCTAATCGACTACCAAAAATGGTTTCATTCAGTACAAAAATTTATAGTAAAAAATTTCTTAGTTTATCAAATTTAGTCGTTGGAATGGTTTCCGAAAAATGTCAATGCCCTCAGTGCCAAATCTCACTATGAACTTGTCCTTTTCTCCTGCTCGGTCGGTGTCCAGTTTTTTAATCACATTTATAAGTCCCATAACTGAAACTAAATCTCGATCGACCCATTTACCAGTAATTTTTTGATCTTATTTATATTTATGACAGTATTGGTTAGCTTGAGGCACAATTTTTAATAATTAATAAACTATTTTCTTACTTGTTTTAATTAGAATTTTAGAATCCTTAAGTTGCGCCAATAAACTAATCCTCTTATACTAAACCATACATGCACAGGTTTACTCAATTTTTAATATAAACATTCACAAGGTTGTAAATCATATGGAATCGATTGTGAAAATTATAATCAAAATGGATGCTATGGGTGTTAGGTAGTTAACCTCACCCAATATTCTATTAATCATAAATATATGTAAAATTATTATAACCATATCTAATTGACAAATATAATAATTCATAATGTATAAATAGTATATTACAATATATTCCCACATTACTACACATAATTTTTGTTTAGTTTGTCTTCATAGGTAATTTATAAGTTTTTTAAATCATGTGTTGAGACCTAATCTAAAATATTTTTAATTAAAAAAGTAATTTTCACAATTTATCCAATACTGTATGCCTTATTACCAATCAAACCTCAAAAAATTAGGCTGTAATTCTGAAGAAAACTTAAAAAAGTCTAAAGGATAAACTAAAAATTTAATTACCAAACCAGAACAAATTTTAAGACGAAAATTTATTTACAATAAATCAAAGCATAAAATATTAGGGTTAAAGTAAAAACATGAAGTATATTTTATTTATTAATATAACACCCGACAAAGTGGTATTTTATAAAAAATCAAGGCTTATAACTTTAAAATGCTACAAATAGTGTTGTTAAACGGCTCGTTTTGAGCCGATTTTAAAAACGGCTAACTCAGTATTTCATCCAGGATAGTATTACGCAAGCCTGACGATTTTGTTTGTAGAAGGAACAAAGGTTTGGACATCTATTAGCGAAATCTCGAGTTTTAGGTAATTTTTTTCTGGCTAAAATATTGAGTTAGCCGTTTTTAAAAATCGGCTCAAAACGAGCCATTTAACAACACTAGCTACAAAGTTGAATAAATTTTGCAACAAAATATAATATTTATCATTTTATAATCAATAATAAACACGTGAATTTGTAAATATTATTGGAAGGATATTTATAATTGAAACTTACTATTATTAACACAAATAAAAAATAAACTTTTCCTATAGTTAACTACTGAATTAAAAAAAAAACCCAAAAGAAAATTTCTAATGAAATGTTTTAGTTTGTGATAAAAAATGAGGGCAAGTTCATAATAAATAAAGGCGAATCATTTAGAGAATGTGTCCAATTTTGATGGATATAATGTACTAGTCGTTGACGAAGGTACAACCCTTGACGAGATTAATCTACCCATATATTAATATTAGGCTTGCAAAGGTTATTAGTGTGGGCACAACGATAGAAAATGAATTTATATTGTTAAGCATGTCAATGTATAACAGTTCAATCTTTCTGCTACTATTCTAGGAACATGCAATTTATGTGACCCCATATTAGATTCCCGGGCTTTTGGTATATATTATTAATAAGATTAAAACATGTTATTTAAATTAATAGAAAGAGATTTTAATTTCTTATATCGTTGGTTTGGCAAGAATCAAAAGCAAAAAATTATTTTATTGTATCAAAAAGGATAAGAAGCTACTTCAGATGTGAACGGGCATGTTCAGTTAAAAAGGGATAAATAAAAAATTAAAATAAGTATAAATGTTTATCATTTGTATAATTGGAAATGAAAAAGGGAATGTATATATTAGGTTACTAGATTGGGTTTGCAAAGCGCCCCTCCCCCAAAAGGGGGAGGAGATCTGGTTGGGAATCATGTGCTTGGAGGTTATAAGCAGGCGGATGCTAAAGTTAGAGGTAATGATATTCTATTTGTTGATGAAAAGATGGTGGAGGGGTAAAATTTGATGCTGAGAAACAATTTATTCTGATGATGCTAAACAAACAGTGTCGAGTGTGATTGTCCCACTTGAAGACTGTAGTAAAACATGTGTCAAGTAAATTAGATCTAGCTAAATCACGAATTATTATATTGAATGAAAAAAAGAATAACAAATGGAGATAATATTATATATAAAAAAAGTATATTTATTTGATTATAAATATTCATTGATATATTATTCGTTTTATTTATCATTTAAAATTAAAAATTATTATTATTTACAATATTTAATTTAAACGAAAAAATATGTTTCTAAATATATATTGTAATGTATAATATTAATCACAAAATTATTATAATTATATATAACTTATTACATTTATAATTAATGCAAATAATTATATGAGAAAGAGAGGGGGGGGGATTCTAAATAATTAAGGGAAGAAGAAGAAAATCTAGATCAATCGGGCTCCTCGGGGAATGTACCCATGAGCATGTGAAATTAGATTTTATACTGAATTCCTGTTTTTGACGTATGTAGACGCTTTCTATTGGGTCTCCTGATTTGGTTCGTAAGGCTCTGCCAATCTTTTTAATTAGGTTAAGAGTCTGACTTCCAAAGGATGTTAAGGTTGTTGTAACAACTGGTAAGAATTTATACTTATCAGGAATATCCACATATTTATTCGTTTTAAAATCCTCTGTGTATTTTAAAAAGTTCTTATTGATGTTGGAGGGTGAGAGGGGGTCAACGCAGGAAAAATCCCACGCTAGAAATTGGCTATTCTCCCAAGGAATTTGTATAATTCTATCGGGTCGTCTCCCATCCGTAAAGAGACCTGCGGGTTCTAAAGTGGCAGGAAAGCCTGCGGACTGTACTCGAGCATTGCATCTGTTATCCCGGATTGAGTGTCCACTGCTAAAGATGCATTGGAGGCAATGACGACCAGTTTGACTTATTGGCTTCTTGCACTTGGTGCACTTATATGAAACTGAGGCTGTCACCTTTAAGCGAATGGCTACAGCAAAACTGATTCAAAAGTTCGAGGAAAATTTTTTTAGAGGGTATGGCTTCCAAGTATTCATATCCTGAACCTTGGTTGAGCAAAACTAATAGGCATGATCTTCGAAGCAGGGTCAAAAAGAGATAATCAACGGACCTTGCAATCATTAGATTATCCCAATCCTTTCGTATATAGGAGACTGGTGGTTGACATTCATTTCCGACTGAGACTTTCCATATGATATAGGCTTCATCAAACAGTACATCTGGCAAGGACAGGTGATCATTTATTATTTTAGAGCTTGTCAAACTGGACGAGATGAACCACTTATTGATAAGGCTATGGGTAATCGTAACCCTATACCTCCTTTATTGCAGGGGTAAGTGCCTTGATGCCACGAAAAGTTAATTAATTATTTTTTCCATGATATTTTTTATTATGCTTTTAAGGGTTTAGGATGATTAAAAACAGCAGTTGACCGTAGAGCATATAGAATATTTGGTATATTGAAGAAATTTTTAATTAAGAAGAAAGATTTATGTGTGGGAAGTTGTATGAGTAGTTCCTTCATATTGTTTAAATTATTAGAAGTAGGTTGGAAAAAGCTTCAACCGCTAAGTAACCTCCAACTGGTGAGCAAATCAAATTTAATTATAATTTATAATTTTTTAGAAAGCAACATATTTTATTAAAGCGTATTTTAATTTACATTTCAGATTCAATAACATACATTTGTTTGTTACTAGAAAATCACTTTTATAAGGTCTTTTCTTACTTTTATATATTTTAATTTATGGTATTATTTTTCTTCTAGAATAATAGGTAAAAAATAAAGAGCATATGTGGTTCTCAAGGCAAATTTAAGCTCCTTCAATATCTCTCTCTACTTTATGTTATTTATGCTATCTCTTTTATCTAATTCATGCTATCTCTTTTATCTAATTTATACTTCTTCATATTGACTCTAACTTTATGGCCCCTTGGCCTTCCTTACGTTTGCCCATAACTTACAAACTCTCAACCTTATTTCTTATATAGTTCATAGGCCTTCTCATTTTGTGCCCATACCACCTAAGTCTGTTCACTATTATCTTAGTCTTAATAGGCACTCTCTTTAAACTTCCTAATATTCTTGTACTTTGCACCTTATCCTTTTTTGATACCCCAGCAATCATCCTCAGCATTCTCATCTCCATATTTTGTAGACTTATCTCGTCTGATTATTTGGTTGTCTATGTATCCGGACTATAGGAAATAGCTGGTTACACTATGGAATTGTAAATTTTTCCCTTCAATTTGTGCGGGATTCTTTTGTCAAAGTGTACTCCAGATAAAGATCTCCACTTTAACCACCCACTCTTTATCTCTTTCTCTATTGTGCCGTTTGTTTATATAGTGGAGCCCAAATATTTGCAGCTTTCAATTGTCGATATCTACCATTCATTTTTATCAATGCTTTCTGTTCCATCTCCTCCTATCACCATATACTCCGTCTTTTCTCTATTTACTTTTAGTCCGTGCTTTCTAGGATATTTATCCAACTAAATAATCTTTCTTCCATTTCATCCTTGGATTCGGCAATCACAATATCATCTGCAAATATCATATTCAACGGGACTGTTTGCTGTATAGACTGTGATAATACATCTATTAATGTTATGAAGAGAAGTGTGCTGAGAGCCGACACTTGATGAACTCCCTCGGCAGCCTGCTGAAGTACCAGTTGTGCTACGGACCATTGCTGTATGGCCCATATACATATCCTGTATTATTCTTATATATTTTTTGGGAACCTTTTTGTGGCGTAGCGCCTACCAGAGAAGTTTTCTAGGGATTCTATCGAAGGCCTTTTTTAGATCGAAAAAGACCATGTGTAGCTTTTTGTTCTTGCCTAATTGCGTGGATTGCATCAGTTGTTGATCTTCAAGGCATAAAGCCAAAGTGAGTCTCTTCTATTTCGATTATATCTCTCAACCTTTATCTATAATTTTTTCGTAAAGTTTAAGACAGTGTGACATTAGTTTTATGCCTCTGTAATTTTGACAATTGTGTGGATCCCTTTTATTTTAGGGGATAGGAACTAGATAGCTCTGCCTCCATTTTTGAGGAATTCGTTTCCCAGTATTTTATTGTACATAATTGTGAGGAAATGTCCATCATCTCCTAGTGCTTTAAGGCTTTCTATTGGAATATCATCTGTACCCTTAGCTTTGTTGTTTTTCATATGCTTAAAGCATGTGATTATTTCTTGTTCTGTTATTGATTGTATAAGGTTTTGACATGAAGAGTGTTCACCTAGATGTAGTATGTGGAGATTAAAGTTGAGAAGCTCCTGAAAATATTCTTTCCAACATTATTTATTTTTCCTTTATTATCAATTTACCATCTTTATTTTAGATTACTTTCGAAGCTCGGTTTATATCCCTGAATTCTTTTCTCGCTGTTTGGCTAATCTGATTTTATTTTGCCCTTTTTTGGTATGTAGTTCTTCATACATGTCACGTATGTCATAACTTTAGCCCTAGCCACTGCCTTTGTAGCTATTCTCCTGGATTTTTTTTATCTTGTCTTGTCATCTGGGTTTTTGGATTCGTACCATATTTTTATACATGGCTTTTTTATCCTGTATAGTCGTTTGTACCTTTTTATTCCACCACCATAGTTCTTTGTATGGTTCCCTCCCCTTGTCAAGCCTAGTGTCGATTTGGCAGTGTCTATTAATCTGAATGAAAGGTCTTTCCACATTTTTTCACTGACTTGTGAGGAATCTATTGTTTCAATCTTTGCATTGATTGCAAAGGCATCTGTCATCAATTTTAATACCCCATTTAATGCATGGTGTTTTATCTTGTTTTAAGTGGATTTATTTATCAGGTATAAATCCATTACTAGTAGCTTATGTTGCGCTGCAATATCTTCTCTTGGGATAACATTTCAGTCTATTACATCTTTAATCTTCTGCGAGAGATAAGCATGTAATCTATCTGGGTTTTCCTTGTACCACTTTCATATTATTAAATGACTATCCTTTTTCTTATAGTAGGTGTTGGTAAGGCAAGGTCGAAGGCTTGCGCAAATTTCAGTACATGCTCTCCTTTATCATTTCTTTCGCCATATATAAAACCACCATGATGCCTTTTGTAGCTGTCTCTTGCTTTATCCACATGCGCATTTAAGTCACCACCTATTATGACTAGGTCATCCTTAGGGATTTCCATTACAGCTTCATCAAGGATAGCTGTCATCTTTCTTTTTTTCTTTGCAACCCGTTTGAGGAGCATATACTGAAAGGATGTGTAGTATTGATTGACCAATGCAGAGTTTTATTTTCATTGGTCTATGAGAGATTCTGTTGACTTTTACGACTGAGGAGGTTAGATCTTGACTGAGGATAATGCCGACACCGTTCCTATTGCTAAAAATTCCATTATAGTACAATTTATACCCATCTCCAATTCTTAAAGTCTTTTGACCTTTCCATTTTGTCTCTTGTATGCAGGCTATATCAACTTTTCTCTTGTTCAACATTGATGCTAATTCTCTCGTCTTACCTTTAAGTGTACCAATACTCAACTTGCTAACCTAGTTTTCTTTGATTTGACCTTTATTTTACTTTTCATAGGATCAAGGTCTACACCCTGCGCGTCACTTGGAGGGAACGCCCTAGCTTTTATCATATTTTCGTTTGTTTCCTTCATTTGTTTATTGGACAAGTATCCTAGCACCTGTCGGTTACCGGGGTGTCATCTCTAAGCTCAGAAATTTATCTTACCATATATCCTAACACATCAGTCATCGAAGAAAAACTTGAAAATGTTTACGGCTCCTTGCCAGGATTGAACCTGAGACCTCTGTTTCCATGCATACATAATAAATCCATGAAATTATGTGGGGCCGAGGTTGTTTAAAATATGTTAATTTTTTTTATCCTTATTTCAAATATAATATTTTTGGTATATTTTATAAATTATGTACAAAAAGGCTTGAAGAAAGTGGAGGGGGGGGGGGGGTTGGGGGTTAATAATTACCCAAAAATTATATTGTCTGATATTTATTTTTAAATTACATGCTTTTAATAATATAATTATTTAATATGGATTTTTATATCTTAGGAATAATAATGTTCGAGATGTTGAGTAGAACCGTATCCATTGTTGAATATGCGCGAGGTCGTATTAGAAATTTGAAAACCTTTTACTAACTACTAACCAATAAATACCTAAGACAAAAAATCATAATAATTAATATATTTAAATCCTTTTTCCTGATCTCCCAGTGTTTAATTTGAATTACAATAGGAAATTAAGTCTGAATTCATCAAGTAATATATGAAAGATTGGTTACATTAAATTTTATATGATCAAATGTTAATCGTTTTGCATTGTGCCTAATATAAATCTTGTTAAAGCAAAAATATATTTAAATAAGTCATCAATGCATAACCAAATTTTAAAGACAGTTTCGTAGATTTGTGGGAAATTAAAATAGCAGAAAAAATGGGTAGCGTACTTGGAGAAGTTTACGCCCCCCCCCCTCCTGCCACCCTTCCCCTCTTAAAAATTTCCAAGTTTTATGAAAATTTAAAATTATTATTTTTAAACATGTAACCCAGCCAAGGCCCTGAATAGATGGACATCTTCAATGAAACTAAAACTGTATTTATGGAACCCGTTTTGAGGATTGAATGGGCCTAGATTTTGATTTTCTATATTTTGTTAATTTTATGGGTCAAAATATTGGTATTATTTTTTAAGAACAAACTTTTTCGGCCCTCCCCAGGTTAGGAAAAATTTTTTAAGGCTTAGTTTTTAAAAATATACCATTTTAACGTTCTAAGGTTTATTTTTTTAATTAATATAATTAAAGGAAATGAACATTGTCTTTATTTTTGGTAAAATGTATTTTATTTTGTAATTTTGTATGTTTGGTTTGATAATTATTTTATTCCCTAATATATAAGAGTATAGGATAAATTAAAATAAAATGATGTGTTTGTTTATACTGTTTGATATTTAATAATAATTTATAAAATCTAATAATCTTTATAAAATATTACCCTTTAATAATAGTTGGATTTGGGTATTATAATATCATATTTATATTATAATTATTTAAATAGTAATTATTCTTTTATATAGTTTATGTAATTGTTGACTATAAATTATAATAATTCAGTCTATAAATTAATAAGTATTTTATTTATGAAGTATAGTAGAGTATATAAGGCAAATTAAAATAATGTATGATATTGGTAATATCATAATGATAATTATTTTAAGATCACACTTTATGTTTTTCTTATTCATTCATTAACATGATTGTAGTATATTGTATCTGTTAAGAAATTACATAGTGTACCATGCAGTTAATTGTCATAAACTAATTATTGAATATAGCAAGTCCTACTGTGTTTCTTCCACAAAAATACGGGAAATATAATTAATTAATGTTTATTGATTGAATATTATTATGATGATTTTATGTCAATTTTTAATAGTCATTCATTATTTTTTTGAATAAACGAGTTGTTCTAATTCTTATTCATCATTTATATAGAAAAATATCCTTTTATCAATTTTATTTTCATATTAGAAAGGGTCTAATTATAATAAACGTAAAATAAAACTGAGCACGTAAATTGGCGATGACCGTTTTCTTTATGAATGACAAATTACGTATTCAATAAAATATCTGGAATCTTATTTCTGGAAGGATGAATTTTTCTAAAAAATAGTTACTAATATCTAGTATTCATATTCTTGAAATAACAGATTTTAATAAACGTTATTAACTGCAATTTTGTAAAAATATCATTGGAAAAGAAGAGGTCCTGAAAATATGTATTTTTGGTATGTATAGACATATATAAATTAAAAATAATCTTGATAGGTCGATACTGTTTAAAAATTGGAGGCATTTTGAAAAAGTTTCTTAAAATTTTATTAAAAGCTTTTTCTGATATTGAGGGGTTAAAGGAGAATCTAATAAGATTAATTTATCGTGTGGCACTATTTTGTAGACAATTCAATCAATGAATTTGCTGTTAAAAAGCAAATCTCAGTTTGGAGTTATTGAGGAAAACAAGAGCTATAGGTGTTCTCTATTAATGGATTTAAGACAACAAATAAGTTTTTAAATATTTTATCAATCCGCATAAGTTAACATCAGCTAAGTACCATAAATAAAGTCTAAATTAAATTTGTGTTTTATTTGGGAATCAATACATAGACAAAAATTAAGCAGTAAAAGATTACCTTGTTGGATACCACTTATGATGGGATTTGAAAAGGACAAAAATTGAGTGGAATTATGAAACAGAAGATTCAATAAATTTTAAGTACTTAAGAAAGGTTTCATAAAAATTCTTTAGAAATTTATATCGATTTAAACTATGAAAAGTTAGTAAGCAATCAATTTATAAAAAGAACCTACTAATAGTGAGTACCTTCATATAATGACTCCTTATAAAGAAACTCAAAAATAAATCTAGGGCCCACCTTCATAATGATAAATTTTATACACCTCCATCCATGTTAAAAACCGCTGCAGCCAATTGTATCATAATCAGCCCCGTAAACTTTTTACTTAAACAGTTAGAAAATAGTATCAGGGATATGTACCAAAATTTTATAATGTTTTTTATTAAGCTAAGATAATAATTTAAATTGAGTGTTGGACATCCTATAAATTTGCTAAGCAACTACTAAATTTTTATTAAAATAAAATAAGACCCATTTTTATTATGTATATCAACGAAATCACGGGGCCACTTCCGATATTTTATATATCATGCTCCGTAGCAATGGATTAAAACCCCGATATATAGGGTAAGGTGACATATACACTTAACGACTCGGGCATAGGCGCAACTCGAGATAATTTTATTTTGTGTATAAGGATAAAATTTACG